GGTTGAATTGGCCAGACCCGCCCACATCGCCTCCAGGTCCATCGGATCCTCTCGCAACGCTGGCGAGCATACACATTTGGCCCCTTCAAAGTTCTCACCCTTTAGCCGCTCACTCGTAAAGAACAGATAGTGAGGGCAGGTTTCCGCGTGGATTGGCAGCAGCCGCGTCTGAGCCGCCCGCACATGTGCCGCAGCCAGCTTGGAGGACATATGCACAATGAGGATGGGGATATCAGCCAGCTCAGACAGAGAAATAACGCGATATGTTGCCTCGTCTTCTGCAATATTTGGACGCGCCAGAGCGTGACCATATGGCTCGGTACGGCGGCGTGCTTCCAATTTCTCCGTCATCCACTGGATCATCTCATGATTCTCGGCGTGCACCATTGTTGTCATTCCTAGTCGGCGAGTGGACTCCATGACATCTAGAATCTCGCCGTCCCCAAGTCGCATTGGTTGATAAGTCATGTATAGCTTTACAGAACTTATACCACTGCTGACTAGTACTGGCAACTCTTCGTCAAGGATATTAGGCGTGGGATTTGTCAGGATGAGATGGAAGCCGTAGTCGCAGTAAGCCTGGCCGGTAGCCCTTCGATGATACTCCTCCACCACGGGGAACAAACTCTCATCGGTTCGTTTCTGACTCGCAAAAGCTAAAACCGTCGTTGTACCTCCTGCGATGGCCGAGCGAGTCCCCGACTCCCAGGTATCGCCGGTCGGGGAGTTATCCTGCTGCAGATGTACATGGCTGTCGACACCACCTGGCGTCACGTATGCGCCCTCTGCATCGAGTGTCGCTGCACTGGGGAAGAGTGCAGGGAGGTTCTGTCCAAGAAGGACAATCTTGCCGCCGGAGATGGCAATATCTTGGTTGGGGACTACATCGGAGGCAGTCGCCTGCTGGTGTGAGCGATGTTTCTGTATGGTAGAATGGCACGTACCACTGTAGCGTTGATGACAATCAAGTCGATTCCTGGAGTAGCTTTCATTGTGACGAGCGTATACAATTGTTCTAGATTTGCGAATATCATAGAGAGACTGACGATAATAAATCACTATCGTTATCATCTCCACCCTACTAATACTACTGAAGGTCATCGGATCGGCCGACGATAAGATTGACTCCCAGATAGCGATAGGGTCTACCCCGACCTTCCTAATCAGGGCAGCTCGACAACGATCACGCGGAAATATATCCGGACAAACCAAGATGTACTATATCTGCACCTGCTATTTACCTACCACTTCTACCGAGGGATACAGCACCCCCAACTTACCCCTCAATACCTCCCCCTCACTGGTATACCACAGAATCATTGAGCATCATGCCTCGCACCGTCCGCCTCGCCGCCGCCCAAATGGGCACGACCAACAAATGGTCCTCGCGCGAAGAAACCTTGAACCGCATGATCGTCCTTCTCAAGGATGCCGCCAACCAAGGAGTAAAGCTCGTCCTATTTCCTGAAATTGCCTTCACGACATTCTTCCCTCGATACCTGATCCTTGACGAAGCCGAGCTAGAAGATTGGTTCGAACACGGCGACATCCTCACTGCGCCGCGCACAAAGGCCCTCTTCGATACCGCTCACGATCTTGCCGTAGATATCATCGTCGGCTTCGCGGAAGCTACCGACACAGGCGAGCACTTCAACAGCTGCGTGTACTACCACGCCGCGACAGGGTCAATTCTGTCCAGATACCGCAAGGTCCATCTCCCCGGTGACGTGGAGCCACTTCCCGATCCGAAAGTCGTGAATCAGCTTGAAAAGAGGTATTTTAAGCCGGGGAACCTGGGATTCCAGGCATTTCGCGTGCCCGGACTACTATCCCCATCACTCTCACAACATCAACAAGGTGAAAAGGATGTAGACCCCATCCTTGGAATGATGATCTGCAATGACCGCCGCTGGGCAGAATCCTGGCGCGAATATGGCCTGCAAGGTGTCGAAATCGTCGCGTGTGGATATAATACCAATGGCTTTGCGCCGCAGTTCTGGGGCCAGTCGGCGGATATGACTCCAGAGGAAGCGGAGGAGTTGTCCCTATTTCATCATAAACTGGTTATGCAGTGCCATAGTTACACGAATGCGTGTTTCAGTGTTAGTGCTGCGAGATGTGGACTTGACGATGGGGAGTATCCCCTCATTGCGGGGTCAAGTATTGTTGACCCTGAGGGACGGATTATTGCCGAGGCGAAGACGAAGGGGGACGAGGTGGTGATTGCGGACTGTGATTTGGGGCTTTGTCGCGCGGGGAAGACCCGTACGTTCGATTTCGCGAGACATCGCCGGATTGAGCATTATGGGAGGATTACGGGGCAGACGGGGGTTGTGGAGCCCCCGTCCACTACCAGCTCCAATATTATCGTCCCGAAGACGGAGAAGAGAGGGAAGATAAGGGTGCTGCTGATTAACCCCAACTCCACACCCTCCATGACAGATACTTGCATCTCCTTGGTGAAACCGACCCTCGCGCCAGACGTCGAAGTTGTCCCCTTCACTGCTCCCATCCCTGCCCCGTCGGCAATTGAGGGATCCCTTGATGCTGTTTTGTCAGCTGCTGCTGCCGTGAGGGCTATTCTGCCCATCGCTGATCAGTACGATGCATTCCTCGTTGCGTGCTTTAGCGATCATCCGCTTGTTTATGCCCTGAGGGAGGAACTATCCGCCCCAGTTATTGGGATAATGGAGGCCGGGTTGATGGCTGCTAGGACAGTTGGAGGGAGGTTCGGGGTGGTGGTGACTTCACAGAGGTCCAAGGTTATTCATGCCGATGCGGTGAGGAAGTTCGGAATGGATGGGGTGTGTGCTGGTGTGGAGGCTTGTGGAATGGGGGTTTTGGAGCTGGATAAGGGTAGTACTGATGGTGGGAAGGATGTGATTGGGGCGATGTGTGGTGCGGCGAAGAGGCTGGTGGATGGTGCTGGTGCGGATGTTATTGTCCTGGGGTGTGCAGGGATGATGAAGCTGAAGGGGGCGGTGGAGGAGGCTGTTGGAGGTGATGGGAATGTGCAGGTTGTGGATGGGGTTGTGGCTGGAGTACAGCATCTTGTTGGGTTGGTGCGGATGGGAGTTAAGACGGCGAAGAAGGGGGCGTATGCCAGTTCAAAGGTAGCGAGGTCGGCTAGGGGGCAGGAATATCTCTAAGAGTAAGTTGTTCTATTGGTAGCTAATAGCTGTATCGGAATAATAGTCTATCTAGTGTGATATTCTATCTAATGGGGAGAAATCTCGACTTCCTTGGTAGTCACCTCTACCGCCTCCCAGATACCTTCCTCGTCGTTGTCCACAGCTACCGGCCATGCCTTACATAGCCCCCAATAAACCCCCCCAGACACGAGAATACTCACCAGCCAACTCAGGGAATACAGATATACTGCCCCGACTGGCACCCCACTCTGCCCACACGCATTCGCCAGACCAGGCAGATTCGGTGCAATCCCGCAGATGAAGGCCGCAAAAGCGCGGAGGTTGAATCCCCGCGTGAAAAAGTGCGTTCCTCGCGGGTCGTAAAGCGAATGAACGCGCAGCTGTCGTCTGCGGATAATCCAGTAGTCCACTATGATGATGCCAGCCAAAGACCCGAGGAAGAGAGAATAGCCGCCGAGGAAGGAGGAAAAGGATGCCGCGCTGGACAAAGGTTAGACTTGACCGTTTAAAGGGAAAGATGCCATACTCTTCCTGGATGTACCATGGGCAGCTGAGAATGCTGAGCACCGCGCAAACATATGCACCTCGTCGTGCGTTGATGTATCGGGGAAACCAGAGAGATAGATCATTCGAGAAAGACACACTATTCGCAGACAGATTCGTTCCTATGGCCGCCAGAGACCAGCACAACGCGGCGAAGAACTGCGCGGCACGATTGTCCCACAGTGCAGCCACTTGTAGCGGGTTCCAGGTCTGAACGCCATAGATAATCTCGCTGGCAGAGGTCACTGTTGCACCGAGAACGCCGCAAAGCGAAACCAGAACTATCAAACCCAAAGCCTGCGTCCAGATGATTTGGCGAGGAGAGTGCGCGTAGCGCGTAAAGTCGGGCATATTCAATGCAAGAGTGGCTTTAGGCCCGATAGCGCTGGTCACGCATTGCAGGAAAACCACCGCCACAGGCGTCCCGTCGGTAATCTGGCTAGGTTTAGAGAAGACGGGACCGAATCCGTGGGCAGTGGCGACGGCCCAGACAAACAGGGCCAGGCCGAAGATGGGCATGATGACCATCTTCACTAAGAAGAGATAGCGGAGCTGAGGAATGTTGAGGTATAAGAGCGGGAGTTGGACGATAATGGCCAGAAAGAAGCAAAGCAGTTGAGCGGAAGTTATAGGCCCCGAACTCGGGAGGTGGTTGGGTAGATGTTCGAAAGATGGCCAGATGGCACTTATCATCGACGAGATGCACTCTCCGGTTTGGTAGGTTTGAGTGCCGAACCAGATAATGGCGACGAGCCCGCGGACTGTTCTGGTCAGACTAGTCGGTCGAGGGTAGAGGAGGCTTACTGAGAACAGCAAAATAACTGCCTCGCATGCCGTAGCTGGCACGGGTGAGAATAGGAAAGTTGATGCCATAAATCGAACCCACGTATCTGTCCCTGTTAGATCGTCCTCTATAATGGCATGGAAACCAACCCATCGAGCACCACTGGGATATACACGAGCATGTGGCCGATAACCACTGCCGCAATCGCCAGACCCGCGTTCAACCCTTTTGAGACCGATGTGGACGTGACTGTCCAATTAGTGAAATTCGGTTTTCCGCAGAGGAGACGTACCCTGGTACATGCTGATCGAGAATGCTTCCGAAATCCAAAACCCAGTCAAGCTGACCCATCCCCAAGTCCGCCGGGCTGAATCCCGTGGAATAGGATCCAGATCTGCATTGGAGTCGACTCCCGACACCAGGTCTCCATGTTTGACTTGTAGCCGCTGCTTCAGACCCATGATGCGCGTTGAATGAACTGGGACATTTCGGCAAGGGACCGTTATTTGAAGCTGCTTCCATTCTTGGTGCTGATAAGGTGTCGGATCGGCCGATGATAAGTACCGCGTGTGACGAGTCAGGGAAGCTGCGTGGCCATTGCTGGTACGCGTGATTACAGTTACCGGCGCTATCGAAGTTTATCAGCCAGAGCCCTAGTAGGACCGGTATTCGTTTTGCAAAGCAGATCAGTGGAGTCTCGTGTAGCCTGTTCAGCAAATCAAGATCAGAAGATAACGCAATGTTTGATAAGATTCCGCAGCAAATGGAACAATGGCAAATTCCAAGGCCTCAAGGAAGATAAGTTGGCAGCCAAGAATGCGATTGAATATGACATGTCACTGATACTAGTACTGTATACACCTTAGTTACCAGAATAATATCCAACCAGACTATATCTTCGACTGCTTCAACTTCTTCTCCCCCGTCTGATAGACCTTCACCAATTGTCGAACGGCTAGGTCAAGCAAAACATCCTCACTACCGCCCGGAATCCGGGCAGCTGGGACCTCTCGGAGAATCGACTCGACCAGCTCGCCCTGTCCGCTTTGCGTCAATCCGGCTCCTCCAAACAGGAGAACCGCGCACTGCGCACACTCATTTAACACCATCCCCGCCTTGGCCTTGGCGAGGGCAGTGATTCCACCCAGCTTGCGATCTCCTTCTTCCTTGGGAAGATGGCACAATTGGTAAAGGAGCTGCTCGACAAAGGCCCCCAACGATTCCAGCTCAGCGCCCGCCCTAGCTAGACGGTTACGAACAACTGGCTGGTCCATGAGCGTTTTGCCAAAAGCCTCTCGCTTTAGACAGTATTGGAAGGCGGTGGACAGGGCCACGCGAGCCTGGCGAGTGACGCCGACCGCGATCGAAAGGCGTTCGTGGTTGAAATTCGTCATGATCATTCGCATGCCGTCCCCTTCTCGGCCGACCAAATTCTCCACAGGCACCTTGACGTCGTCCAATTCAATGTAGGTGGTTCCACTGGTGATCGGGCCGGTGACCTTGAGCGGGCGCATCGTGACGCCGGGGTGTCCCTTCAATGGAACGAGCAGGACGGAGAGACCAGACGCTCCCGGACCACCGGTGCGAACAGCCATGGTCGCAAAGTCGGACCAGATCCCGTTGGTGATCCACTTCTTCGCGCCATTGACCAGGTAATACTTTCCGTCTGGCGTCTTGGTGGCTGTCGTGGTGATATTGGCAACATCGCTGCCTGCCTCCGGCTCCGTGATCGCGATACAGCAGCGTCTGCGACCAGTCAAAAGATCCGGAAGAAAGCGTTCTTGCAAATGCCGGCTGCCATACTTCAGAATAGGCGGAATTGCAAAGTTGAATCCGGCGTTCAGTGATGAACCCGGCCCAGCCATACCGGCTCGCGCCATCTGAAGTTGTCAGTCACGCCCTATAATGCACCCGGGATACCTACCTCGTCGAAATAAATTCCCGTATACATGTAGTCCCAGTCTTCCACCTTGACTCCCAGGATGTCGGCGATTTCCAAGCGCTTCAGCCAGTCCACGGGCAAGGGTGCGCCGATGTTCGGGAGTAGCATGTTATGCTCGCAGAATGTGTGGAAGACATGCTCGGGAACCTGTCCGGCCTTCTCATACTCGGCAGCATGACTGTGTAGATGTTCCCAGAAGAATTCGCGACAGGCTTTTTGAAAGCGACGATGGCCCGGCGAGTAGTAGGGCGAAGGGAGACCGCAGAGATATGGCGGCTCCGAAAATGGAATTGGGTTAGAAGACAGCTGCGACATCTTGCTGTTGTCCTAGTGTTTATTTGGGAACGCCTCCGTAATTACGTACAGAGTCTCTGGAGTGAGATATCTAGAAGGGGCTGTTGAGCAAGGAGGCATAAGCGGTATATCCGAGCCGGGTTAGCCATCCCCGCATTGGCAGTCAGCCTCGGTCCAGGCCCATTCCCGAGGTCAGTCACGTGCCCTCCAGGCCGTAAGAGGAGAAAGATCAACATGATGAGGTTCTCAAAGGTTGTTGCTTGTGAATAGAAGAGGAGGGAGGGTGAATGTGACGCGGACCGATCTGGAGGTGTCGTTCATCGTTGAGCACTACTGAGTAGGCAACTCACACTGCAACCCCAGCCCCTGCACCGACCGGGATTGGGTTCGGCCGGATCGCGGACAAGCTTGGGGAGTCAATTGGCCTTTGCTCAGGGACTGAATCACCACCGGAAATATTAAGAGATCCCCGACTGAGCTATATCTCTCGCATGTAGTGAGCCAGGGGCAGATGCGATAAGAGCGAAGGACAGCCAATCCAGCCGGTGCCGTTGGGCCTGCCATCGGGGATAGGTGCATTAGCATAGTCGGTGGTGGTAATCAGTTGTGCGCCCAGTGAGTCCGGGATATCCCTGGCTGAAAAGGATGTCTCATTCGGTGCGTTAGTCCATGTCCTTCTATGCCTTAGGACGGTTAGATGGAATACAAGGGTGCCTGTCGGCGCCCCGCCTGTAAATTGGCTGGAGGGGATAGACCATCTGCTCCGCGAGGGACCTGCATGAGAGGTGCCAAACCTGAATTTCTCACGTCGAATCGCGTTGGGTACACCGATCTGATTATATAGTATCCTCCTCCACCGGCATTCCACTTCCGACTGGTAGCTGAACCATGAATTGCTTGTCTGCTCGATTCCATGTTTCACATCGGATATCTGGTGCCAAATGAAAATGTGGAAAAGCGAGTCTCAGCTGGAGATCCAAAACGCTCTTTGCTGATTGGCGGGTAGCCGAGATCCGCTGCGGAGCGATTAGTCATGTGCCGTTGGTCGGTCACGCCGAGGCCTGTCCCAGTTGGGATAAGTGCGATCACGGGGCCCACGAGATCCCAAATGAATGAGACCCAAAAGGGCAACGCAACAAAGGTGGCATGATTCAACATTTAGTGAGGAAAGAAAGAGTGAGGGACATCTCAGCCCATCCCTGCTGCTATAACATACCCAACCCTACTACTCCGTATACCCTGCTTGCGACTGTTCTAGACACGCTGTGATCGACATAGTACATACCATGTATTATCGGGAGTGTAGCATTCAAGCGAGCTGACAATGCCGGCTACAGGAGCAACACCTTTGCATCAGCTGAAATGCCCCCCGGTGGTTGCCATCCTGCCTGCATCATAGAGCCGATCCTGATGCCAAGAAGCTGATGGACAGTTCGTTCCTTCGAGGGGACCAGCACAGACCGGCACGATCACAATTGGATGCGAGCGGCGAATCATGACTGGGACGGGACTTCCGACCTCTCCGACGTATTGGATCCTACGCGATGGGATCGTTTAGCGGGTCCACTCCGGCCAAACGGGCCCTCTGATGCCCTTAAATGTCCAGGGATCGCGACGGCGCAGCTGAACACTGGAGTCTGGGCCACCGTCGCGGAATCACCTTGGTGGGGACGCAATTCGTTGACTTAATATACGTGAACTTATTGTCTCCATACACAGCCCACCATTGGTCCCCCCCTTCCCCCCCAATCAATCGCTTCCACAATTGACGCTCGCAGTCAGCCTTCAGCATCCTTACCTAGTCGGATCACACCTTGCAAAACTCTGCCGCGGAGTTCCACGTATGCGGGTAAAGTAGTGGACCACCCTGTCAACAGCCCTCAAGCGTTGGATGACGGCACAGTTTCGGAATGACAAGCAGCTGTGCCAATCGCATGGCACGTCAGCCGCAGTCGGCTTCTCCATCGGTTTGGCGCAATCGGAGGCGCATGCTGGCCCAAAATCCTGCTAGGGGTCATTGGGCCGGCTAAATATAAGGACTCTGGGGGAGGGCTGGTCAGCAACACACTTTGCTTCTTTATTACCATCCAGACCGAGAGCGTGCAAGCCAGTTCTACCCTTGCTGACGTTCAGCGTGTCATTCCATACCCATTGCAGCCTACACATTCAATAGATTCTTCACTGCTAATCTGATCCGCCATGGGTTCACTGTCTCCTGTACAGGATGGCATCAAGCAGGTGACGCGGAAGGAATTGTACACTGATTTCAGTAAACGGATGGATTTTTTGCGGTTGTTCCTGGACTTCACAGACGGTATGATCTAGTCTGGTGATGGAGGGGACAGGTTGCTGATTATGACTCCAGATGATATTATTGTCTTTAACAAAGGCGCCAAATTCCTCAAGGCAGCCTTACCAGTACTTACTCACCGTCTCTACGCTAAAATGCTCGACTTCGACATAACAGCACGCGCCTTGCGGGTTCGAAGCACTGAATCCGAAGCCCAGGTAGATGAATACTTCACTCTGGACGGTCCGCACGTGCAGCGCAGGAAAATCTTCTGGAAGTGGTATTTGACCCGATTATTTTCCGACCCCAGCCGACTCGAATATTGGGAGTACCTGGATAAGGTTGGGTAAGTCCACTGAGCTGATCTCCTCATGCAGACTCTCGTGAACAAAGTCGGGCAGATGTACTGATGGCATATCGGGGTTTCAGAAAGATGCACACAGGTAAAATCTTGATGCACCCACTGAAGATCGAGTACATGCATATGAACACATGTCTGGGGTACGTCAAGGAGCTCGCATACGAAACAATATCCGGACACCCAGAGATGTCGTATCCGTTCAAGTTCGCTCTGATCAGAGCGTTTAATAAAATCATGACCATTCAAAACGACCTCATCTCGAGGTGTTATATCCGCGAAGGTCAAGAGTTTGACCATCACTCTCCGAACCCTGTTGAAGCGCCGCCCACGGGCGGAGCGCCGCCACACACCGACACTGGCTCGAGTACCGACTCCTGTGTTTCAGACACAAGATCCACCGCAGATACCCGATCGAGTACTGATTCCCGATCTATTCCCGACCCCCAATCTTACGCGGACATTCAACCCAACCCGGATGCGCGGTCATTACCCGAGACCAGGCCCAACACTGGTGGTGGGTCAACCGCGGAGACGGGGTCCATTGCAGAGTCGCGATCCAATGCCGACACGTGTTCCATACCGGATTCTACCGCAATCAGTGAAACATCATCCATGGCGAACGAAAGGCAGCTACATCCCCGGTGCTTAGTCCCTGGTCTGAGTCAATCGAGACCCACTTCCTCCAAAGGGTCTGTTCCCAGTCTACGAGATCGCAGCGCCAGTTTCGATCTATCGCGGGTACGAACTGCAAGTGACTCAATAAGCTCCTACGATCCGCCGTCCACGGCGGGTAGTAGCCAGCGGCTCGGTCCTAGTTATGCGGGCACGGCAACCGGGTTCACCTCGCCATTTACCGTGGACCAGCTGGGGCAATCGTTCGAGACGAAGATCTGGTCGGCGAAACCTAAACAAAAGTGGTTCAAAGCGTCTGAATAGTTGTTATTGGCTTTCCTTTGATTCCCCATGCTTATATTTTGAATTGTCTTCACAGCCGGGTGGCGTTTCATGCTTGGCGGATTATATCTATACCTTTTGCGGCTGGTGTGTATATATTTGAGTCTCATCTGGATAAAACATGACGAAATTTACTTTACTGAGAAGTGCACATATAATAAACTCCTACACCGATACGCCTGGTTATAGAGTCCTTTCCCCTAGAAAATCCTCTGCTTGCCCCTCGCGTAGATTGATCCGATACCCCGGTATCTCCGACGAACACCCCCTTATGGACTATATCTTCAAGCTAAGGAATGAGCATTACGCAAATCGCCTTCAGACTATTTGCGGGGCCCCCTAGTGCACGTAGCCGACGATGATCTGAAAACCCCCACCCTCGCCAACTCGGGATCCCGCCACCCCGTCTCGAGGTATGATCATTAGTGCCACCTGCTGGTGTTTGCGGTGACACTATATCCTTATACAGGGAGCACGCTTACAACGGATTGGTGTTCAACAATGTCCCAGATCTCGGTAAGTTCATTGTATAAAATATCGATGCTCAGCTTCTGGATATAAAAACTAAGTATCAGTAACTTACCCTGTGAAAATATATTCTTCCTCCGATAATAGCAAGTGCATAACATATCGTAGCCCGACAGACACCGAGCGCTACCATGAGCAAAGAAACAATATCTACAGTACTATATATAAGGACCTCAGTCACACGTTTCCGAAGTACTCAGATATGATCTGCAACATGTCCTCCTCATCCCGCCTTATCCCTGTCAACCGAGGCTCGGGGATACCAAAAGCGGGGAGTGGCACCACCGTCACAACAACACCACTTCATCCTCCAACGTTGCACATCTTGCAGTTCTCACTTCATTACTCATAGCCCACAACTGTGTCGACAATCATGCAGGCCGTTGTTTTCAAAGGTCCTCTCGAGGTTACTCTCGAGGAGCGTCCCATTCCTCAGATCCAGGATCCCACCGACGTGATCGTCAAAGTACGCTACACTGCACTATGTGGAAGGTGAGAACCCCAATAATAAAACACACAAAATTTATGCTAAAGTTCTATATTTCATAGTGAGCTACACGTCTTCCGCGGCCACCAGCCTTCCACAACCGGCTTCATCATGGGCCACGAGTTCACCGGAGAAATCGTCGAAACCGGCTCAGAAGTCCACAATTTCCGTACTGGTGACCTAGTCGTCTCGCCATTTACTGTGAGCTGCGGGGAATGCTTCTACTGCGTGCGAGGTTGTTCCTCTCGCTGCGCCAAGAGCCAACTCTACGGCTCTGTGGTCCTGGATGGCGGACAGGCAGATTACGTCCGAGTCCCGCTGGCGGACTCGACGCTGGTCGCTGCGCCGAAGGAAATCGATGAGAAGAAGCTTGTGCTGATGGCGGATATTTTCCCCACGGGTTATTTTGCCGCTAACAATGCATTTAAGGCGATGGATGAAGCTACGGTACAGGAGAGTACGGTGATTCTGTTCGGGTGTGGACCGGTGGGGATCTGTGCGTTGATCAGTGCACTGGAATATCGGCCGAGGCATCTCATTGCCGTTGATAGTGTTCCCGATCGGTTGGAGTTGGCGGGACGGTTGGGGGCCGAGCCGTGGAACTTCCAAACGCAGGCAGATGGGCTTAGAGAGAGGGTCAAGGAGTTGACCGAGGGAAGGGGAGCCGATGTGGCGATTGAGGTGGTGGGACACAGTAGTGCGCTGGCTATGGCGTTTGAGATGTTACGGCCTTGGGGTCGGATCTCGAGTGTGGGAGTGCATAATGGCGAGATTCCGTGGACGGGCAACCAGGCCTATGGGAAAAACCTACAGATTCAGATGGGGCGGTGTCCAGTTCGGAGTATGTGGATTCAGCCTTGAGTACATTCTGTTATGCTGATTGGTACAGGCACTTTTGAGGATGCGTTGAAGCTGCTGGTTCAGAAGCAGGATACTCTTGAGTAAGTTCGGTGGATGGATGCGGGATGTATAAATTGAACTGACAATGTGTCTAGTTTCATGGTAACTGACGTGCGACCACTATCGGAGGCTGTCCAAGCGTAAGTATATGTTTCTTATATATAGAATGAGGCTAATAACGCGCAGATACGACGATTTCAACCATATGCGATCGCAGAAGATCATTTTCGAAGGCAGTAAGTGAGCGTTTTCGGCGGTGAGGAGTTGATGGTGACGGTCGTTGAATCGTGCGGTAGAGTGGTTTGCAACGAATGAAAGCGTCTCATGTCCTTCCACTTAGCAGTCAAATTCATTTGCAAATGTCCATGATCCCAGCTAGATGCATTATGACTACGCTGTTAGTGTGTTGTCCGTCCGAAATCCTTGATGGCCAACCAGAAAAGGGATCCGTATGTGCCTTGATACCAGTCGAAGCTGCCCAGGCTGTAGACGATGATCCAGGAAGTAGTACTATCACTGAAAATACCGTGAACGGGAGACGTTCTGCTGAATGGACCCAGGTCACATGTCGGAGCCAGGCCAGCAAACACAGGCATGGCCCCCCAAGGCTATGCATCTTTTCACTTCATCCTCCTCTCACTTCTTTCTTGAAACAGTAAAGTGCTACAACAAGTAAAGTTATTGCTTTGGTTGTTATTCATAACAATTACAAAGGTGGATATAAACTTGTCTTGCATGAAATCTCTATTGAAGGTCAATTTTTCGTGAAGCAATGGTCTCAGCTGCTACCAGGAAGCTATAGACAAAGTGAAACACCCAAGAGAACGGCAATAACTACAGCGATCTAGACACCAGAAGGGGGTAGATACGTGATGATTCCCGGTTATAGTAACTAACATGTGCTAATACTCGATTCTCATGCAGTAGCTAGCTTCCCTTGAGCAAGAGCCAGTCGATCGCGGTGCCACTACTCCCGTTAGCCAAATCATTCTGCATAAGTGCCGGAGCAAATCCACCCACCTTCCCACAGGAGATAGGCTCGAAAAGTGCGGGATGTTGTTCATCAATACAAGATGGCACCACCTGGCACACCGTCTCAGGATTGAACCCGAAGAAAAACGGCATCGAATACCGTGATGTGCTTTGCCGGTTATATACTCTATGCACCGTGGATCTAAACCGGTTGTTGGATAAGCGCTGCAGGAAATCCCCAATATTGACGACAAGTGTCCCCGGGATGGGTTGAGCGTCTAACCATTCATCAGAGGATGACAAAACTTGCAGTCCTCCCGACATGTCCTGCCAGAGTAGCGTGAAGCATTGGATGTCGGTATGTGAGCCGATGCCGACGTCGATTCTATCTTCTTTGAGATCGGCCTCGGGTGTACCAGGGTAGTGGATGTATAGACCATCAGCGCCGGGGTGGGTGACGACACTATCAAAATAGTCCTCGGGGAGATCCAGTGCAAGGGCGAAGATACGGACCAACTTTCTCGCCAAGGCTAATCGTGCTTGCCAGAACGAAATGGTGGTTTCGCGAAAATTTTGGAGATGGGCGGTCCCTGCCCAGAGGGGCGAGTCATCCCAGATTCGATCTCCTGGGGTGTCTGGTCCTGCAGCTGGGTCATTGCGGCCGTTGTAGCGAAGGGAAAAGGTTTCCTTCCGGTCTGTCACGTAGTTAATGACCCGTCGCGCACTGATGGTAGTGAGGCTGACCCTTTGTCTCAGATTTGTTGACCTGGGTAGTTCCTACCGCGTGGTATCCATCCATATGCTTTAACTTGAAGTTGGATACCTTTTCTTTTTCCTCCTGCGGCTGATGAAAAAAGGCTTTGGCTTGTGTGAGAGCGCCCGCGATCATATCCTCGGAAATCCCATGATTCCTGATGTAGAAGAATCCTGTATTCTGAGCAGCAGCGCGAATCTTTCCCGCGAGTACAGTACGTGCGTCCAGGTCGCCATCAATACCGACAAGGTCAATCACAGGAATCTCATCGTCGCTCGGGAGGCGAGGAGGGGCAGTTGACACCCTGCGGTATTCCGGTCCGTTTAGCGTCAATAGCTCGACATGAGTATATGCGGGCGTAGCCATAGCAGTCATCGTCCAGGTCACCCGAACGGTCGCTTTCTTTTGACTTGGTCTGGCCTTGTAAGGCTATTTGTCCAGTTGGCCTCCTTCGTGGTTCTTAATAGCGATGATATATGTCCGATGGTGTGCTGCCACGGCAATCCCCGCAATATCTTTGGTGGGGAAGACGGTCGAGGCCGAATAAGTTGATAAGCAGGGCGATACAAACCTAACGCCTCATTGGCCCGAGCTTAAAAGGTAGTAGCACAAGGAGAACCCGCCAGGTTTGCCCAGATGATAAAGGAACCTTTCCAAGCCGTTTTAGGTCGCAGCCAAGAGATAACGTGTGTCCGACCGCTACAGAATCATGGCATTCCTTATCGGCTCATGTGGTCGGTTGAATAAATGCGGCCGAGGGCCTGCATCAATCTTCGTCAAACCGCAGATCTCAGAACTGACAACATGAGTTCCATATGGGAAGCGATCCACGAACGGTTGCTTGTCAAGAGTGTCGATCAAAATGGTAACACCAGGCCAGTCGGCGTTCTGGATAATGACTCGATCCGACCAACTCCAACTAAGGACCGAAAATGGACACGCCTCACATACCTCTTCTTCTGGTTCTCGGCTACGGCCAACGTGAGCAACTTGTACGCATCAAGCACCGGCGTATCCATGGGATTGACCATGTGGGAGGCCATCGCCTGCTCTTTTACTGGCCAGTTCCTCGCAGGGTGCCTAATGGCTCTCAATGGGCGGGCTGGTGCGATGTATCGAATCCCCTTTCCAGTCTTGTGTCGTTCTAGCTTTGGTCCTTGGGGTGCCCTCTGGCCAACGTTCAACCGGGCAGTAATGAGTATCGTCTGGAATGGAGTCAATGTCACCCAAGGAGCCCAGTGTTTATAGTATGTGTCGCGGTCCTTTCCGACGCATATGACTGAGACCGATTTAGTGTTTTCCTGCATGCAATCTTCCCATCAATCGCTCGTATCCCTGATAAGATGGGACCAAAGTCTGCCTTGTCGTCTGCGCAAATGATATGCTTTCTCGTCTACTGGTAGGTACAAGTCCACCCGATAGATGCGAGACGCTAATAGGCGACAGGCTTATCAACTGCGCATTCCTTGTGGTTCCTGTGCCTAAGATGAAGAAGCTTATCTACATCAAAGTAGTAGTCTACTATGGTGGCGCTTTCGCCATGTTAGCTTGGGTAGTATGCCTGGCTGGGGGTAACCCTCCTGCCCTTCACGAGGCTTCCACAGTTCATGGAAGAGCCAAGAGCTGGCTTATTTGCAAGTTCCTGTTTTTGGGACTGGCCAGCTGCGGGACCTTCATCTCCAATGCCGCGGACCTCCAGCGGTACGCAAGGAAGCCTAGCGACGTGATCCTAGCACAGGTCATCAGCTTTCCGCTCTCTGGACTACTAGTGGCTGTCATCGGCAACATCATTGCTGGATGTAGCAGAAGCATATTCGGGGAGGTACGTCTCACCTTTCCCAACGAATCTTCATTTAGGTCATATACTAACGAAGTCAGCTGATATGGAATCCCCTGACATTTTTGGACAAGCTGATGGATGGAGAAAGATACACGCCGGGCAATCGCGCTGCTTGTGCGTTCATTTCATTGGCATTCGTGTACTCGACTGTCTTTTCCGCCATTTTCGAGAATTCTATTCCGTGAGTATCCTATAGTTTTTATGGCAATCTTTTGGCTAATGACTCATACTTTGCAGTGCTGGAAACGACATTGCGGCTTTACTTCCTCGGTACATTACCGTTAAACGAGGCTTCTTTATCTGTGCTAGTCAGTATTGGTCAATGAGTCTAGTCTTGCAGTTACTAATCTGATGTAGTCCTGTCCTTCGCTATCTGCCCATGGTACCTCCTCGCCACAGCGGCCGTATTCATCACCTTCCTCTCCTCCTACCAAATCTTTCTCTCTGCTATCGCTGGTGTTTTGATATGCGACTACTACCTGATCCGACGGGGATGGCTTGACATTCCGGCATTATATACAGCACGTACCGATGGCGTTTACTACTTCTTTCACGGATTCAATCTACGCGGCTTCGGTGCTTATCTTGTAGCAGTTGCGCCGAACTTCTACGGTTTTCTAAACCAGATGGGCGTCAAGGCACCCTTGGGTATACAACGGTTTTACTTTGTCGCGTACCCTGTTGGCCTGCTTCTCGCATTCGGAGTGTATTACCTCGGGTGTATGGTTTGGCCTCCTGCTAAAACCGAGAAGATGAGCGGATGGAAAGAGCCAAAGGAATACTGGGACGAATTCGATCCCGACCGAGTAGATGGAGTTGAGGCGGTGATGGTGCTGCCGGTGGTTGTCAAAGACGAGAATGGTGCTAAGATGGGGTTGGCTGTCTCAAGCAAAGTCTGAATGGACTATGAAGCAGATTACTGTGAAGGTGTTGGAACGTCCGAGACTCATTACTGCCTCTTTGTGCAGGATTTACTTAAGTCGTGGAGGTAAAATACAGAGCCAGCTACCAGGAACATATAGAATTTCGAGTTGGAGAGAAAGGAGAACATCCTATTCAGTACTGCTATATATGAAAATTGTCGTTCGACGGACGTTGTTCGTGATCATTCAACTCTAAATCAGAGCTTTGCATCGTTGTCACCAACGGGCTTTCGGCGAAGGCCCTTATGAGCTTGGGTAAAGGTGTCAGTGTGCAGGGCCCCCGCAGTACTCACTTCCAAGGCAAGGGCAAACGCAGCTATTAACGCAGCGAGCCGACCTTTCCTTCCAGGTCCGCTACAGTTCATGAGTTCAAGAGCCTCTCGCTGAGGGCCCAGGTGTGTGCCGCCGCCCACGATGGCCACTGGGAGCGATGGGATGTACAACGACAAAGTTATCACCTTGGTTTCGTTGTTGTATTCGGGCACGAGCTGGTTCCAGCATGCTTCGGCGATGCTGGCGACATCTTGTCCTGTCGCGATGAAAAGAGCCGTCACGATGTTCATGGCGTTGATACTGTTGCCATGTACTCCTGCCCTGATGTTCGCGGACTGCAGCTGAGAAATTCCCTTGTACATGGCCTCAGATGTACATCCGAGCACCTCTCTAGCAGCCTCATCGGTAATAGAACCCCATGCCATGACTTCTACACCCCGTGGTTCCATCAGATGTGACCAGCTTCCTTTCTTGTCTGCCGACAGACCGGCCTCTATGAGGAATCCGCGAATCTTGAGCAGCTGAGCAACAGCAGGGCTTAACAGCATCTCGCGGCAGGCGTGGTGAGTGGCGATGGTGGCCATGTTCTGGCCGGCAGCGTCGCCACATGCATAGTTGAATTTCAGGTGGGTTTCGGAGCCCATTACCGTGGGCGTTACGGAAAGTAGCCGAAGATGACGACTGGTAGTCTCGGCAATCCGTTTCAGTTCAATATTGAAAGTAGGAATTTGCTCGGCAAAGAGTAGAGCGTCGGTGGGCGAATCGAACTTGAAGGCTGGGGTCCTAATGCCCAGTTATCATTTTTCCCGTTCGATTGAAGCTCTTCGCTGGCTGCCAATGAATGGATGGTTGTGAGGTTCGTACCTGGACATGGTATCACTAAGTGATGTGATGTGGACGCCCCCGCTTCGACTAAACGCCTTGCAGCCCCGACTACAACTGGCAATCAGGGCCGCTTCGGTGGTAGCCAGAGGAGCATAGACCTCTTCGCCCTTTTGCTCGCCGGCCTTCCCGATCTCCTGGACGAGCAGCGGGCCGGCCAATCCCACAGGCACCTGTACAGAGCCGATGGGGTTCTCAATATGAACTTGGGAGGAGCTTATAGAATGAGCGGTGATCTCCTTCAGGCCTTTGGTGACCTCTTGGAACTTGTTGGTCGTTCTTGTGGCGTGAGAAGACATGATCGGAGTGATCGAAGATAGCACAGCGATGGTGATGATATGGGGTGTTTGAGAAAAAATCCTATAGCCCGGCTTTATAGAGGAATACACCGGCGGTGAAATTACGGGCAACCCGAACTTGTTGCATACTACTCTCGCAGGAATTGACTATTGCATGTTATTTGTCATATTCCAATTCGCCACTGGCGCAGTAGCTTCATGAATCACCGATATCTACGTATTCATGAAGGCGCTACTGCACTCACAAGTAGTCTCATGCAGACTCAAGCTACGCTAAGCTCACGGATGTGGCGATTTCTATAATTGCTTTTCTTGCTATCTGGACATGAATTTATTTCCAACCGATCTTATTGGCTCGCTTGGATCAGCGACACGAAAAACGGAGATTCTGTCGAATCTCACCTGATATCTTGCTTGCTTTTTACGGGAAGACCCTGACAAATTGTAGGACCCAGCTTTCCCCTCGACTTTGGTGACCGATTGAGTAGATCGGTAGTTAACACTCTTACCAGCCGGGGTTTGATGTAATCCCCCTTGGGCCCAAATACGCGCCTGATTAGCAGCGATAAAGTCTGTATTGAGGTCTCTTTCAGCTGCTACCCTGACTTTCTGCCACGTTTGTGCAGAGAATACAACCGAAGAAACGCATATTTACCCTCCGGTCATATCCCTCTGTTTTAAAGGCAACGTTTTGGAATGTCCTGGCAATTGATCCTACCTGCTCCCTCCAATCTTACGTCCTGATACACCCATCTGTGATCTGATGCATAGTCGGCAATATGCGCTCATATTGGAAGTTTCACGACCGGTCTTGGTGGTATATTCCATAGGACATAATATATAATCTCAGATACCATCCCATGGCTTCACTGAACGTTCATATACCCTTCATCATGCACACTGCCTTCACCGATATATAAACAACTTACCCACAGCTGCTTCATATTCACCTCCAAACCTACCGGCAACATCACTTCCAGACTTACTAAGCCGTATCTGAACCCAGCGCTGTTCACACCCCATCTTAGCAGGCTCCTCAACATGACAGCAACCAACGGATGCAACCACGAAGAGTGGGATACCTATTATAAATGGGAGCCTGGACTTGCATCTTTCCAGCAGAAAGCCCAAGAAGACCAGAACCACATGTTCCTCCAGATCGATCAGAATGATATCTACGCGTCGCAATGCCTTGTGAAGCTTGTCAAGATCGACTCACTCGACAGGGTATACGATATCAGAAGCGGAGTTACCGATTATGATGAATCCATGCACTTTCTCAAACAAATTAACTTCTACCAAGTCGTGGCCGAGCCGAGTGTCTGGCACCATCAGACTGCCATTTATCAACTGTTGGTTGACCTGTGTGGGCAACTTGAAGAGTTGGTGTATATTGGTGAGTTAAGTCCTCATACCTCTCATCGCTAGATGAGATTGTTTCTCGTCTTACTAACTACATGATAGTTGAAAGTGCATTTGAATTTAGTCCCGAACATGCTGAGCAGATGATCCTGAACAGCTACGTCAAGTGGCGCTGGCATCTGTGCAAGGTGGTTATTGAGGATATCAAAAAGCGAGTGGATGATCTGAGTAAAGATTTTGGGTGTTGGGCCAGACAGAGCCCTGGAGAATATGGGGACATCTTTCCTCCGAACCCCCTCGACCAGGAAAATAAAACTGATGCATCGGAAGTGTCGGAGATTCGAGGATTGACCCACTTTGGGGCAGTAGCAATGAATTGAGTCCATCAAAATGGAATTACAAAATGTCGTACGTTTATAATACATCACAAGACGTCAATATGTATCTATAAGTAAAATAGAAAGGTCTCTGCAGTAGCCCGATTGCCCATATCTGAATGTAGAAATGTACGCTGCCAGATGGCGTCAAGAATGTGAATATCAGGTACAGAATTCACACGCATAGGCTAAAGAGGCGAGTCAGAGTGTAAATTCAGCATTGTTCATCTAGGACAGATTCGTCCCACCATCCTCTATCTTCCCGTTAAGTAAGTAAGACGAGTGATCAATAGACATTCCATATTCATCCCTTTTTTTCCTCCTTCATCAGGGCAGACTTAAAGACTGGCTTGAGAAGGAGTTGACCATGTATACATGGTGGCCTTCGTTGGACGGTTAAAGATCCTGTGGCACAGGAATATACCGCATTAAGGACCATGATGTTGAGAGCCTGTTAGTTGTCTTGGCAGTGGAATTTCACGTAATGATAATAAGCGAGTCTGACGGAACATTCCGACTGAATATATTGTGACGCGTAATAAGAATTGTAGTAGAAGATATTCAAATGTGGATTAGATTCAAGGCCCCGAAACTCCCAGTGTTTCTCGGATTCATCGAAACGGTAGCATCAAGGTTTTGTGTGTCTTCAGAGGTGGAATTATTCGAGATGATATGACTTCCACTTAATGTGCTCTATCTTAGCTGTCTTCCAATTTCTATTAGGCCAGACTGGCTAGTCACAGAATTTGTGATGTCTTAAGTGGGAAATCCCTATATTGTCTTACGTCTCCACTGATGTTGAGAATATCAGACGGGATGACTCTATTTGGTGCAACACCGATACTCCAAGAACCCGATGGTAAGGTGGGAAATCCCATTTTTCGAGAAATGTGATACTCACGCCTACCATATGGGAATGACTGACACAGGTGCAGTTGTGGTGCATAGAGTCTGCGTATAATCAAACGGAGATTTTACCAAAACTTTAGGAACTCCCCGTTAACACCATTGCTGAGGAACCTGGAAGTCAAAGATTTGCCACCTGTCCCAAGCATAAATAGGACCTGATGTCCCTCCTCGTCCACAATTTATCATCACACTGCTCAACGGTGCCTGGCTGACCATGATGCAGCTACACAGAAAGTTGTGCACTTCTAACCCCTCAACAGTTAGTCAATAAATCCACCATTTTGAGTGGTATGTCTCTGACGATGGAGGTTTCTAATGGTGCATCTGAATAGTGTAGTGAGCATTATGGAAATGCTCTGGCACTGCTTTGCAGCTCTTAGCAGTATTTACTGCCGAGTTTGTCTTTCCTTTTTTTTTTTCTTTTGGTTTTTCGAGGCGCTACGGCTACACCAGCCAGGCTTCCTCCACATCGACCTTCGCCCATGCTCCCTACCATCCGCCTACCATAGAAGGTTGGCTCGATCCTCAAGGGTAAGGCTTCGTTTTTAAGCGGACGGAAAGTCTGCCACCGTCATTCTTTGGGTCATCCTTGATGGGGTTATAATTCTTATAGCTCAGGGGGTGACTGATAAAGATGGCGGCGGTGGGATTTCTCTCTGCAGTAATAACACAAGCTTTTATCTTATGGGGAACAACTCTTACCTTCCAGGGTAGACGGTGGGTGTGACATGAGCGAAGGCTGAGGACAAAGCCCTGGCTGGTGTGGCCGTATCGTCCCCTTTTTTCTTCACTAACATCATGTATATCCATGTTTCTGTATTGCCGGTTATGTGGAATATATTGTCTCTAATTGTTGTTGTGACTAGACGATGGGTGTCTCTGTTCAATGGTGGTTCATTGTCGTGTCTATAAGCTTTGTCTATATGAGACCTGAATAGAATCACCTATTTGGATCAATCGAAACTCACCGTCTACATCCAATCTGAACTCTAGTAGACCATTTACCACCATACACTACACCACACGAGCCCTGAGAGACGGTCGTAAACTGACTGTAACATGTCATCACAAGGATGACTCCGTCTTGACATCCTTCTCCTCTCCGCCGCCACATTTATCTACTCCAATTGTGGCCATTAAATTGATATTACTCGAGTCAGAGGAAAGTTGTGACTGGAAGTCTTGGGGAAATGCAGGTTGGAATCATTCAGGTGGTGACTTCATCGGTGTTTCTGTGGTTTTGTCGGCCGGTCAGATGTAGTCTAACACCATGCCCTACCTAGCGTGCCACTCCACTGATATCTCTGTTTTGATAATCTTGTTTTCTCTCTAGCCACATTTATTACTCCAAGTCTGACCACTAAACCCATATATATGGCGTCAGAGGAAGCTTGTGGCGCGGAAATCGAGAGTGGCCAAAGAGAAATATCAGTGGGGCCGGTTTATGGTTTGTTTGCGATTTTGGCAGCTGCTGGAGGAAGACTTCTCTCTCCCCCTTGAATTTCTTTGTTTCTATATCCCCGTCGCCGGTTCCCCCTTTGCGTCAATACTATCTTGCCGACCTTCTATGCCTTTCTCCATTATCATACAGCCTTTCCTCTCATTACCTCACCGTTCATACTTTTTACACCCTCCTTTCGTCCGTTAATCTCCCTATGCCCCTGCTCCTATTTCCAATATCTCTTCACCGTGTTCTATTTCATGCTCTTCTCCTGCCTTCTCTCTGTCTTTACCTTTCATGTACCACCCAAGGGCCTCATGTATAATTCCCCTGCATCATATTCGCTGTTTGCTTCGTCTTTCTTCGTCTTGACTTTTGAAGTATCTTACCTTTTCTTCCCTATTAATTTTCTTTTCCTTTGGGTGGTTTTTTTTTTTTTTTTTTTTTTTTTTTCATGCGGAATGATACGACTTTTTAAGAGGAGCAACCTAGATTCTCCCAACACTCAAACTGATCCCTCAACTGTATAACATACCGTGTAGTCGTAGCGCGCCCATCAAGTCTATTAAACTTTCGGAAGTAGTTCCAAATAGCCAGATGCATACGGAGAGTCTAACGTAAGTGAACACACAAAACTGTATAATCTAGGGGTTCCCATAGTCAAGCGCTAAACATATACTTTTATGCACCATCTAACAAATTCTAAACAAGCTATACTCCCATTCAGACACATCTCACCTTCATCCATTTCACATCAACCTCCGCCTAGTGACTTCTAGCTGCCCGTTCCCGCTCCCTCCTCAGCCTTTTCTGCCTCCATGTAATCCCCTTCTGCATAACAACCCACAAGCTCGGCGACACAGCCACAGAAATTAAACCAAGCGTGGTATACGCCCACCCTTGTCCCATCGCCTCACTCATAGGTGTGATAGCCGCCGAAGCTGCAGCTCCCAACTCACACCGGAAGAGATTACTCGCTGCCGTTGCAGCTGCAGATCGACCAGGCCACAGATCAACAAGAATGGCATTCAAGACCTGCGATGTGCCATTCAGACTCCACCCCGAGATGAAGAGTAGGATGACCGGCGCAGCCAGATTCACCTTATGACCGAGGACCCAGCCGTAGGCAATCATGGATACTATGCACGTGTAGTACATGGGCAGTCCGACTTCCAGCCGTGCCTTTTCGATATTGAAGTTCGTAAGGTCTTGTCGCACGTTTCGGATGACAGGGAGTCCGGCCTTGGCGGCATGTCGACGATAGTTCCAGTCCATTAGACGGCCCGTTGTGAATGCTGAGACGATGCCGCCGGCTCCGATCGGTATGTACATTAGTCCTGTTTGGATGTTGTTGAGGTGGTAGATGTCGTGGAAGGAGGTTGTCGCTCCAGTCATTACGGCGTAAAAGCAGGCGAAGGTTAGTCCGGTGGCTAGGAGGATAACGCCTGTTTCGAGGTCGGCGGTGACCTTTAGTGTGGACATGGGTGATGGGCACCGGAAGGCATAGTTCTTCCGCACTTCGGCCAGTTTGCTTTCCTCTACGACGAGACCTTTGGCCTTTCGGTTGCGGTGCCGGATTGTGTCGCTTAGGTTTTTGTTTAGTGTTGGGGGTGGAATGGAGCCGTCCGCTACGACCTTGCGGCAGGTCTCAGGGAGGAAGAGCAAGAGGGGGAGGGAAAAGGCGGCTGAGTAGATGAGAAGGAACCAGAATATCCAGTGCCAGTTGAGGTACTGACTGAGGAGTCCACCGATGATCGGGGATAGAGAAGGCCCGAGCATGCTCCCTAACGAAGCGAATGCGATGTATGTTCCTCGTTCTGCAGATGTGACTAGGTCTCCAACCAGGCCGTTGGCCAGCGCCACAGTGCCGCTGCTTCCTGCGCTTTGGAGGCATCGTAGGCCGAGTAGTGAGCCGTAGTCATTTTGGAGGCCGAGGCCGAGGTTGGCGGCGATGTAGACGGTGAAGCAGATTATGTAGGCGGGACGTCTGCCGGCCGTGTCTGAGAATCCGGCGATCAACATGGGCGCTATGCCTTGCATTATCTGGAGTAAAGGATATACTGTTATTGACTATACTGCTCTTAACGGAGATTCCAGACTCACCAGGTAGGTCGTGACAGTCAGATCAATCTTGGATGTGGAGACGTTCAGCGCTGCTGCTATCGTGTCCATGGCAGGGAAGTAGATGCTCGAAGAGAGTGGCGAGAAGAAGGCTGCCATAGAGCCAGTGGCCACCATGGCTCTTTTTTGGTTGACTGTAAAGACTGAGAATACATCTAGCCTGGGTGGTGCATTCTGCTCCGGCTCTTTTTCTATATCGGGGGCGTTGGCCTCTGTAGCCGATGAAGAGGATGGGTTGGCGTTCATATTGGACCCTTGATTTCTTTGCAAAAGGTTTCTCGGATTTGAACAGAAATGAAGTTCACCACCCAAGAAAAATATGGTAAAGGAAGTAGAAAGAAAAAATGTCCACCGTCCGTTATTGTGACAGCTCGAGGCAATCCCGGTACCGGCTTTCTATCCCGGAACCGGGTGTCCCCACCAATCATAGAACAGATCCTCAGCTATAGATCCCGTTACCGGGTTTCCAGCAGCAAGCATAAAATGACCAAGTGTACCCAGCAACTGCTCATCACCAAAGTCAAACAATCATAAAGTCACTATTCTACTGCAAATATACTAAGAAAGTCAACGACCATGGCAACTGAAAAAGCCGCCCTCCTTCTCCTCGACGTACAAAACGGCATCGTCAACCGTCTCGAAGACACCTCCCAATACCTCCAAACTCTGTCAACTGTGACACAGGCGGCCCGCAACGCCCAACTCAACATCATTCATGTGGTAACAGCCTTCCGTGCCGGACACCCAGAATGTAACCCTCGAAACCCCAGTATGGGCAGAGTCAAGGAGATGGGTGGCTTCCGTAACAACGATGAGTCTACCCAGGTTCACCCTGCCGTGGCACCCCGCAACGAAGAGCCTATCGTGACCAAGTATCGTGTCTCGGCTTTTACTGCCACTGAGTTGGATCTCATCCTCCGGTCATTGGGTATTACACAGTTGGTAGTGGCAGGGCTTATTACCAGTGGAGCTGTGCTGTCGACCGTTCGTGCGGCCGCAGATCTCGATTACAGTGTGACTGTATTGGAGGATGGGTGTATGGATCGGGATCTGGAGGTGCATCGGGTTCTGATGGAGAAGGTATTTACTCGCCAGGCACGCGTTGTGAGCTCGAAGGAATGGGTGGATGAGGTTGAGAAGTGATTTGCTATTCAATTGTATTGAGTGTGATTGTCTGTATCCAGGTGGATGGGGTTTGAATGTGGTAACCTGTCTATATTCTGAGTTGGGGTTGAGCTACCGGTCACTGAAAATGTAACCAATTAGATTTTAGTTTATTGGCTGATCCTTTACACTTTGTCTTATTTATGGTCAGCATCGTATCACATCAGAAGATAGACATGAATACAGGTCCGATTCCACACTTCACGAAACTCCCATCTTGTGTGCGAATAAAGCAAGTTCAAACAATGTGAACGACGCAATGCCACGACGCCCCAACCATATGCTAAAATATACAGACGGACCGCTAAATTTAACTTCACCACCACAACGACATCACCAAATTCGTGTCTTTTGTTGCGAATAAACAATTTCAGAAACGAGCGACGCAATCACAGAGTTATCAACAGCTACTTGCTGACGAAATAGTTGGCTCCGACAACAGGGCCAAGGCCAATATCTCTGGCCCAGCCATCGAGGTCGAAACGGAGGCGCGACCAGACTCCCATCTTCTTGCCGCCGGTGGGAGAGGATCGAGTGATTTCGAAGCCAGCAGGCTGTTCGTAGAGAATGAACAGATAGCGGTGCGGAGAACTTCCGGGAAGAGGATTAGGTCCAACGTAGTTGGCAATGAAAGGTGCAGCCACTCTGAGGAAGAAGTGACCATTGTCGCTCATAATCGGCTCCAGACCAGATTGGATCCAGTGGCACTTGGGGCCGAGCACGCGGCACGAAGGAAAAGGGGCATCTAGATCGAGGCAAACAATCATGTAGGTTCCGTTGCCCTTGAGGCGAGGGAACGACATGCGTGGTGGATGGGCAGCATCTGGTCGGTTATTTTGAGTATGCTTCGCGATCTAGATACGGGAATGAATTACTTACCACGCTTGGAGACGAACTGACCTGGGTAGATAAAATGGCTGCTGAAGGTGAGGGTCAGGAGCTTTCTATGCTCGTTGCGAATCACCGCCATCGCTCTATCAACGTTGAAGTTGGTAGGCATCTCGCTTAACGACGACTGATGTAACTTGACGCTTTGACGCTTGAACGCTGACGCTGGAACGCTGACTGTTGAAGGATAACGCTTGAAGGATGATGGAGTGAAGAGAACGGGGGGTGTGAAGAGGATAGATGTCAAGAAACGATCTATGACAGAGGCGCGTCAACAAAGGCATGAGAATATACTAGACGCGCTAAGGTTAACACTCAGGGTTAAGCGAGTGCGCGTGAATTTGAACTTCCGCTTCGGTGCTCGCCTCACGTGCCTCACTGCCCTGGATTGCACAACGCACAATGATTTGGAGATCCGTGGAACTGTAAATTTGTACATAGCGTATCCTGCATGTTTGGTGTATGCTGTTGTGCCAGATGGTTGTGCTATATCTTTGGTTGGTGTGAAGTATCTGGGACGTTCGCAACAAGGATGTGTGACCAGGCTTTATCGAATCCTAAAGCGCCAGTATGCCAACGATAATGCGACCAGTATATGACCTTGTATTCTAACAGCCATCAACTATCTGATATACGGCATCACAGGCATGCTTAACTAGGGGTTGGCCGACGCAATAGCTGTTAATGACAGTGCTACACACAATGCTAAGGAACCCGTCTGCTCATCCATGACAGGCTGCAACAGTCAAGCTAACTGTTTGAATATTCCAAGACATTATATAGTAATCTAATCGATGAAAAGTCCACCAGACGCAATAATATGTGCCCCATTAATCCATCTCGACCTCTCCTCACACAGAAACCCCACGGCATACGCAATCTCATCCGGCTCAGCCATCCGTGGCGCAACTGGTGTCTGGTCGATAACGGGCTGGAGAATCTTCATCTGCTCTTCGCCTGCTGCTGCAAATCCCTCAGTCTTGGTTGGACCCGGACTAACCGCATTGACGGTGCAGCCATACTTGGGCGGGAGCTCCTTGGCCCTATTTGAATCAACAATGGCTCCTAATGCAGTGAAAATGGCTAACACGTACCAGCATTTTGTGAAAGAATCAACCATCCCCTTGGTGCCAGCATAGATGGTCTGATTTGGCGGAGGCCCTCGTGCCGAAATACTCACGATATTGACAATTCTCCCAGTATTCTTGGTGAGGTGCTTCAAGCTCGCTTGAGTCAATAAGAATGTCCCGCGTCCATTGATATTGACCAGCCTGTCCCAGTCCTCCAGCGTCTGCTCTTCAAACGGCTTGTTCACTGCTAGTGCAACACAGTTGACCACGATATCAACCCGACCCCAATTCGATACCGCGGCATCGACCAGCGCCTGTGGAGCAGACACTGAGCCCATATCTGCTTCAACAGCAACCGACGGCGATGGCAAAGACGCCACCAAGGCGTCGGCTTCATTTTTGAGACCGGGGAATGGATAATTGACAACAGCGCTCGCTCCGCGGGCAGAGAGTTCCCGCACAATGGCGGCGCCAATACCGGACGACGAGCCGCTGACGATAGCGACCTTGTTGAGGAGAGATTGTTCTACCATTTTGGGCAAGATGTGATTGCTGACCTGGTCCAGTCGATTAGTAGGAGACATGCTGAGTGGGATATAATCTTGTGCAGGTGTGTTCCTCCCGAGTGCCATATATGATCGGTTCGGTTCAACCTCCCGGCGCTTGGAGATCAATCACTCCCCCGCTATCCGACTGTCTCCCGCCGCCCGCAGTTCCTCGTGCTTTTGCTCTCCACAACCCGACTTGAACTAACCCGATTGCCCCGGAAAACCGAGACATATGGTTTATCTTATACCCATGATAGAATGGAGGTAGGAATAGAGGACGCTTCCAATAGGTGCGTCCCAAAGTGGTCAACGCTAATAATTCTACATCGGAGACTGGACACCGTAGAAAGAAGGAAAGCATATTCTCGCTGCTTAGCTCCTTCAGTATCACACTGTTGGATAATACCAAAATGAATCCTAGTAGTCCTCATGGGTCTTATATGAGCTGTCAACTAGGTGGCATCGGATAATCCGCCAAGCCAGGGCTATGTGTCTCCACAGCCCGATCTGTTGTAGCATAGTCGCTTTAGACTAATTATCTCACAGTGGGTGGTCTATTGCTAATATAGTATATCTACATCTGGCACTCTCCAACTTATGTACAACATGACTGATTTCTCAAGCATCAATCTGAGACTAATTGTTCCAGACTAACAAATAAGCCTCGAAAATATTTATCCGGCAAGCAAACAGCCACGTAACACAATAATCAATCACAACTTCGACTCCTTGGCATTGTCCAGCCCTCTCGTTCCAGACCGATCATCCTTGTCCAAATACCCACAGATACGCCCCTGAGGATCCCATTTGCGGCGGATGTCCATCAACCGTCGAGCATTATCATCGGCCCAGTACTTTGTCTTTCGCACCTGAAAGTCCGCATCCCCCAGATAAGACCCAACGCCATGTCGCTGGACCCTCTTCATCACATCAGCCACCCACGCTTGACATCTCGCATCGTCCTTCTCCTCCTCCCACACAGTGTAGAGTGCAAAGTAATGATCGGACTGCATGCTCAATGCCATGTCGGGTAGTTTCCGACGGCTGCAAGGATACATGGCGTACCAGAGGGCAAACGCTTTCTTGTGGGGCAGTGTCGTAAACGCCTCCTCCAGCACGGCGGGAACATCGGCATCATTTCGAATGTAGGCGTTTTCGGCGCAGTACCGGTGTCGCTCCGGGTTAGCGTTAGCTTGATTAGTATATTGATTCTCCAAGCTATCCACCTGGCAGAACCACTCCTGGATCGCCCCCGTTGGCCGGGTGATCTGCGCTGGGCGTAAAGCCTTCTCGGCCTCTTCAGGGGTTGACTTCATGGCGACGAATAGGACAAAGAAGCAGTGCTCGTCAATCCCCTCTGGGTACGCGGCCACTGCGGCGATTTCAGTGTCCTCGTCAAAACTAGGAGTGATGGAGAGCAGCCAGTCGAAGACTTGTCGGTACTGTCGAATGGGATAGACATAGCCAGACGAGCGGAAACCATCCTTAGGATATGGAATTAGTTCCAGATGATACTGCGTCACCACACCTGGGAAGCCAGGACCAGCTCCCCTGGCTGCCCAGTAGAGATCGCGGTTTTGGGTGGCATTGCAGTGAAGCAGCTCGCCTGTGGCTGTCACTACATCCACTGCCTGAACTCGTTCACAGGCCCAGCCCCAATTCTGTCGAACACTTGTTAGCCAGTCGAGATGCAATAGTGGGAGCGCATTAACTGACACGACAATTCCATCCCATTCCGCCTTGTAGCAGAAAGCCACCCAGGCCCACGTCGGGACAGTGTCCGCCCGGGAACATCAAACCATAATCCTTGATCAGAACTCCATTGAGCTCCTTTCCTGTCATACTGGGAGTGGCTATCGCAATGCGGTTCTCTGCATCCACTTCCAAGTGCTTGTAGTTCCCCAGATCAATGAGGATGGATTCATCGCGGACACTCCATGCTGCCCATGAATGTCCTCCCGATCGTATAGCAACGCGACAGTTCTTTTCGGCGGCTAGCTTCACTGCAGCAATGATATCCTTTGTGCTGGTAGCTTTGACAATTGCCAAGGGAAAGCGCTGGGGTCGACGGTGATTGAATACACGACCTACACGAGCCTCTTCGTACACGGCTGGTTCAGCCGAATCCCGCCAGACGATGTGCATTGTGTGTTGAACGTGGGTAAATGGAATTAAGGGGGTGAAAATGTGACTGAACCCAGGCACAGTGAGCGAGCGGCAAGCATTTAAGGTTATAGCGTGACAGGGATGGTATACCCGCCGCGACTCCCTCAAACTTCTCGGAAGCCGCAGCGGGCCACATCTTACCCCGCACATCGTGGATCTGGACGGGTATATATTTTCGGCTCAGTGGAGGTAATTTGCAGCTCAATCTGAAATGGTGGTTGATCAATGAGTGGAGGGTCTGTTGGCTAATGCTCTGCCACGGCTCCGCTTCCGAAGCATGACCTACTGCTCCTTAAGGCTTTTTTCATCAGTGTTGACGATTCGGAAAAGACGTTTAAATCATATTAGGGTTTCATTTCACTTTTGATATCAATGTAAGGTAATTATCACACGAGTGCCAGCAATTTCTTATTCCGCTCATTGCGTTACGAACGTATTCTGAGGCAGGTTTTCTAAAGAAAGCATTATGCTTTATCGTAACAGTACAATAAGCTTCATATCTATCAATCACCTGAAAGGAAAATATGTAGGTACTCGGCGGTCAATACGTAAGTAGCCAGCAGTAGAGGTACTGTAGAATAATACATGTCTGCTGGTTCATGCAATATGACTGCCAATCGAGTTCCCCCCTTCGAAAAGTAGCCGCATATTTGAAACCAACAGACACCAGGGGAACCAAGGCGTGCAAAATGAAAACCTCCGACAGAGTTTCAGATAAGGGGCAGACCCTTACCCAACTGTAAAGTTACTGCCAACAATATGGCAGCAAATTCAGCAACTTGAGTGGAGTTTCTTATGTCCCATGGTCCAAATTGGTTCATTGTCATGAAAGATTCGCATTCCGCTTCGCGTCGTGGATTCGTCAAATAGTCGACGTAGTCCCCGTTATACTCGGCAATGATTATATATAGCTCATGTCGATTCATCGACCAGAGCAAGCGACGGAACCTATGGTGTCAGATGCTTAGCTGCTGGCTCCACATTCTTTCTCACTTTGCGTAGGAGACTTCTTCTAAACATAAACATAAAGTCTGGGTGCAGGGGTGACTAACCATTGTTCCGCCAGCTTTTCCTCATAGGCAACGTCTTTTTCGGCGTGGATCCATGCCGCCATTTGAGCAACTTCCTGCATCATGACCCTGGGTAATTCGGCTCGCACCACGGGTTTCACTTCAACAATGGCTTTGGTCTCCCCATTACTATATAGAAACATATGACCATCCGTCCTTGCTTCATACAGCTTGATGCCTTTCTCATCACAAACTTTGTACCCCTTCCGTTCTGGGGTCCAATGGGCTTCGACGCCTTCGACAGAGAAGGTTACCACACTTGCCAGACCCAGCAAGTATGCATTCACCATAATTTCATCTGAGACTTGGGGAAAGTCTTCCTGCTCCTTGTAGCTTGGATCCAGCCCGGAGTCATCACTGCAGGCTTCGGGGTCTAGATCAATATAGGCAGTTTCGGAAGACTGGCAGATTTGACTCTCACTGCTTGATGGTAGTTCACGTGTTCCTGTACTTTGCTTCTCCCGGTCTCCATATATCTTCATATAATCAGCCAGATTAATTGCATGAGGATGGGGTTGAGTTGGTTCGGAGAAGGTTTTGCTTCTCGACTCTGGTTTTCTCTTCCTCAATCGCTCGGACCATGGAGTGAAATTGGCGTTTCCTTCAGCATCGGCCGCACTCGGCGCCCAGCGAATGAGCTGGCCATAATACCAAATCAGCGTAAAAGCGCCAAGGTCATCCTGTATGGGAAGAATTTCATCTAAATTGGTCTCTAGTGAAATCGCGTCAAGGAAGCTTTTCCAATGCTTGAGCTCCCCCAGCTTCTCCGTGGCAGCCTCAACACCATAGATTCCCCATTTGCCTGGATGGAACTCACTAGCCCGCCCAAACTTCCACAACGCCCTCAGAGCCAGATATTGGGGGTCATTTATCTTTGATGCTGGATCATAGGCTTCCAGCTCATAGATACTTACACCTTTCGCCTTGTACCGTTCTGCCCACTCATTCCAGGACTCCTGATCCAGAGACCCTACAAGAAATTCAGGAGCAGACATTTTATAGCATAATAATCTGAAAGAAGAAACAGCCTGTGAAGCCTGAAACAGAATGTAAATGTGGAAGCAGGTACTGCACCATGTGAAAAAGCGACAGAGATGGATGAAACCCAAGTTTAAAGCATGACACCATGCCCAGTGGTGCAATGTTGTTTTATATAGTACTACATGCCATGGGTGAATGGAGCATATCAATGATGCATTGAAGCAGAAAGATTAGTGATTGCATGGCTGTGATGGGATTTTTCTTGACCTAGCCTACATGGTGATGAGAACAGTATGTTGAAGGATGAGGCGGTCTTTATCGAATTCATCTGCATAAGGGTGAATGCACAAATTGGACACCAAGGCAGGATCTGTGTATATTTGGTACCTTCTATATTGACTACCTTCTGAATTCACTGGACCCCTGGATTTCTCTTCCAATTAGGCTGGTTCTGAGGGCCAAGTCACTTTCACTGGTTATTTCTACTACTGTGTCAGGTATAAATATCTGCAAGTGCTTCGCTTCTCTCCCTTGCCGGTTCCCATCCTCCTTCCTACCTTCTCACTGTCATCTCAACAGTTTTACGATCCGTTGGGGGATATCCAAACTAGGACTGCGGTACAGCCACGTTTCACGTTTCTATACCAATCCAACGTGTACTGTATTGCTCTTACTCTCCTCCACGCGTTCGGCGTTGACACACGAAATCGACCGTTCTTCTTTTCTATAGATCCAATTATGGGAATGAAACGGTCCTTCGAGACCTTAATCGAGAACTGTCGTGAAGATGCGCGACTGCGGGTAGCCCAGACCAATGTTGTATCCCGCCATCTGAGGCGCAACTTCACAGCAACAAAAGCCTTGAAGCACTCAGTGTTGGCAGATCATGATTTGAAGACAATGGGGATCAGGCTATCCGAACTAGACCTTGAAGGAGCATGTTCGGATGACCACCAGTCGTTTTACCAGCCACTATCAAAAGCAGAAATACCAGAGATTAACTGGGACAGTGTGCACTTTTCGGAATGGCATGAAGGACACAGCGAAGAGTCACTTCGGGTTTGTTTGACCCTACAAAGTGTTTCCGGCAGAGCCTATGCAGCATGGTTTCATGATCGCAAGCACCAACCCTGGGTCCATCGGCAGTAAGTACAAACCTCCAGATTTGTAGTGACGATAGACATTGTCTTTGCTCACATTACTTGCTCACCTACCGGGTAGATGCTACCGCGCAATCCCCCGTATTGCTAGTGGCGAGCATACGCCAGATGTACCGTATTCATGGCAGACTATTGGGGAAATGGAAGCAGATTCGTTGGATATCCCCCACTGCATTTTCCAGATGTACAACTACGCTGATCCCGAAGAACCCCTTCGCCGGAGTGAAGTCTTGGCTATTGTCGGTTTCATGCGATGGCGGCTGAATCGATTCAATTATATTAAACATCGCATATTCCCGGTGAGTGCAGTGTACTGTGATGAGTTCCAAGTCACCTTCGCACCCTTTCAACCAGCCATGAATCATTCAATGCTACAAGTACCTGCTCTAACACTCTGCTTGTATCACAGGTCCTGGTCGTTTCCATTTTCCGCTCTCAAGCTCGAATCTTGCAAGCGTATCACGACGGAGAATATCTTCGCATCTCAAAAAGCAAGTTCATTGATTTCACCGAGAATTGTCGCGAGAATTATGAATTGTTTGTGCGGTGGATCTATAGCATTCCCTGCGGGGACACTCAAGCCCCTCTGGCAATCAAGGGCGAGGAGTTGCCCCAGCGAAGCTACGAGCAGATTGATAAGGGATTTCGTCATCTTGCACGACAGGCAGAGACCTACCATAAACGCAAGAAGATGAAGGGATAGTTCTCACGTGGGGATGCAAGGGATTATCGGGCTCTATAAGTGATAGTCTGACGTTGGCGAAGGGGGCGGTAATCGTTTATCTAGGAAGGTGGCGATATGTGCAATAGTACAAGGAGATACGAAATTGACCATTGCTTGCTGTTCACTATATATATTGAAGTTGTAGATTTTTAAAAGAGACTTAAATTATTTTTCCCGATTCAATTCATTGCCAAGCTGTATCACATGCTCATCAGGCTAACCCCAAAGCAGGCAACAATGTCAGGCCCACATGTAGCATATCGTCCAATTGAATGGTAGCAGTTTCGGCAGGTGACAGCGGGGACAATCCGAACCAACCAGGAAAGGAAAGTACGGAGGGCAGCCTGCAGCAAGTCCAGCTCTGTCACCACCGAGGAATCCGTCTCTTATATTTCCTGACACTCCCGAGTCCCCCCGGATTGCTTGCCCTTTTCAGCCAACAATCTGAGTACTTGTTCATCCCATTCGTTTAGCCTCGTCTAAGCACCTGTCCTCGACCATCCTCGTAAGATTTATCCCACCGGTCTGGGACGTGCGCCGGACGCCATCTGTCCCTAGACTGGGGCTCGATCGCCGCCATGTCGCCCTCTAAGCAGTCTGGTATGTGTGCCATCTCCAATACCAAGCCAGGTTTCTCTTGCTTTTGATGCAGCCCAATGAATGCCTCTCTTACCTCTTCCGTACAATAGTTGCCACGGCGGACATGCCATTTATCGTCTCCACCGGCACCAAGAAAGTCGATCCTCGTACCCGCAAACTCATTCGCAGCCATGTTATGATTGGCAAGAACCGTGGGAAATCCCGCTATCGCCAAGCAGGGGCCGATCCATCGACACTGGCAGACGGGAGCACAGACGAGACTTCGGCTCCTCCTGCCGATGACCCCGTGGATTTGCCATTATTGCCATCTAAACAAGTATCAGCCACCCGCGTGGCGTCAGATCTTCCCGGCAGAGTTGGCAACGACATGTCCTTCGTCCGGCTGGCTGATGACACTACCAGCCCTGCAGCCCTAGCCACTATCCTTCGCTGTAGGTGCCGTGTCCTCGATTCCACCTGCTGGTGATTCAATCGGGCCCACTAAACGTAAACCTTCATAGTCACTGAACGGGCAAAGATAGAGTTCTACCCGCTTGCCGTATGCATAGTGTTCAACGCGTCTAGTCGATCATGGGTTCTTAACATGCTGTCACTAGACGCAGCCTACCTCAACGCCATGGTCATCACCACCCAATCATACTTTGGTATTTACAAGGGGCCGGAAGCGGCCCAATCGCCTCATCTGGGGAAAGCCATCCGCCTGCTACGCAATCGGCTCGGAGAGGAACAGGTCCGCGTGTCCAATGCAACCGTAATGGTCGTCATTATTTTGATTTTGCACGCGCATATCGTGGGTGATTACGCTGCCGTACTACATCATACCCAGGGTTTACGCAAGATGGTCAGGCTTCGCGGGGGACTAGGAGCATTTACATCCAATAACAAACTAGTCATTGATCTTATCCGGTGGGTCTCCCCTTCATTTCATCTCCCTACTGTCTTTGCCGATCATTATGTTCCCCTTTCGTATTAGACTACCTCGATGGTTGCAATCTAGTCTAACCTGTGATCAGATGCGATGTGGGACTAGCGATCCACAGTGGAGAAAAACCCGCCTTTTTCGAGAACCGCGATCTCGACATTTTTGTCCCATCCGACCTTTGCTTCACGCCGCGATCTCGCCCTGCCCCGTCGTTCGTCCGGGGGCTTGACCCCGGTCTGGCGCGGATGTGGCACATTATGCAGGGATTCAGTGCCCAGGTAAACTTGACCACCAAGACGAATGGCATGATTCCCGAGACGGATTTCATGAAAACAATGGCCTCCGTCATATACCCTCTGTTACACATGAGTTTTGAGCCCGGTTCCCTCGACGAGGCGATCCGCCTAGCTTTACTCAGCTACGGATTTGACATCTTTCTCCAGTTCCGCAGCGATCCCACCCCGTACGTCCACCTGGCTGCCTCGTACCAGCGCTGCTTAAATGGCCTAGCCAAGCGGAACGATGTCTCTCCACAACTCTGGATTTGGTTGTTAACTGTCGGTGGTCTTGTGGTGTTTTTACCCGCTGTCAGGCGGAATTTCAGGCACTGGCTGCTGTATTACCTAGGAAGCTGTCGTGTCCGCTCGTGGGAGGGAATGCAGGCCATCCTCTCCTCATTCATTTGGATTGGACTTGTGCATGATGAAGGGGGCAAGGAGATTTTTGACAAGTTGTTTGCCAATCTAGAGCCTGGGTCGGAGACATTTGTTGATCAGACGTCTTCGAGATTAATCACGTGTTAGCGTTGTTATGATTCATGTTGCTGGTATATATTCATGGTTGGGAAGAAAGACTGGAGAGTGAACATATATTGGCATATACAACCACTAGAACAGTGCTTTTGCCTCACTAGTTGTGTAATAGTCATGTGTTGGGATTTAGTTCAGAGAGCCGGTAGTGCTGGTCATGTGATAGTTTATTTACAGTGACGTCACGTCACGTCAAGCTGGCGAATCATAAACCAAAACACGCGACTATAGTTTCTGTGTTGTGTTCTTCGTTGAGGTTATTTTTGTTTTGCAACTCGACAACAGTAGTACTAAGATATATGATTTTACTAGGACTATACACAGTGTTGAGGGAAAGGTTGGTCAGTAGTCTTACTTCAAATACCACATATATATATATATATATATATACGTGCATCATGTCCAAATGTCATCAGTTTGCTAATACACGGTTCCAGGATCAGCATGAGTCCCCGCAATCCACTAACCTCATTACTATTCTCATCATACTAGATCCATCAGCGTCGAAGTCCTTAAGCGAGTCCAGAAATTTCTGCACAAATTGACCCCAAAGAAGAGAAGAATAATCCATTCCTTCCAAACCCACCTAGTACTAACGACAAACAGCAAGAAAATCCAATATATACATGTCCTGCAAAGACCCAAAGATAAATAATCACTTTACTCAATTTTCACCCTCAATAACCGCCACAAGGGACCCATAATAAACCCCAGGCCCGCAAATAATCGCTCAACGAGGCTATCCGGGATGAAACGCACTATTACCCCAATAAGAAGAGATAAGACGCCCAGAACGACAGAGTAGGCCCATTGCACGCCGGTGAGACGAGTGATGGAGAATGCGCGCCCGCCTACGAACATGATGATCATTTGTCCGCCGATCATAATAACGTTGACACCGATGAAGAGCCAGTTGCGGTGGATGCCTTCGAAGACATTGATGTTGTTGCCGAGGGCGCGGGTGCTGAGAATAGTTAGCACTGCGTCAACCAGTGCATGTGGAGGAATGGATCTTACTTGTATAGATTGAATATCTGCATCCAAACGTATGTGTTGAATACAGCTGTTTGTAGCTGGGAGTGTTCGTGCGTGGTCGTGTATGAGAATATCCTGTTGCCGGCAAAGTGGAGCACTAATGTCACGGCGAGCTGGTAAATTGACTGCCCGATTATCATCTTCCACATTGGCACTGTTATCAAGGGAGTTGTTCTCTTGTCGGGCGTTCGGTCCAACACTCTGGGAGACGGTGGATCGGTCGCGAGCGCGAGTGCTGCTAGGGTATCCTGAATTAAGTTTACCCACATCAGTTGCACGGCTGTCAGCACTGATGTTTCGCTGGAGCTGGCCACGGAGGTGACAAATGCCAGTCCGACAGAGGTGAAGGTAATGGTGATTTGGAACTAGACCACACAGTCAAATGGTGTCCCGCAGACTAGAGTATCATCCAATCCGACGACTTACCTGCAAGAACTTCTGAACCGCATCGCTAACGGCTCTGCCCCACATGATCGCCTTCACAATGGAGCCAAAGTTATCATCCATTAACACAATCGCTGAAGCCTCGCGAGCAATTTCTGTGCCCGAGTTGCCCATGGAAAATCCAACGTCAGCTGCTTTGAGTGCAGGAGCGTCATTCGTTCCATCTCCAGTGACGGCAACCGTTGCCCCAATCTGCTTCAGTCGACGCACAAGCGTACGTTTATCTTCTGGCTGAGACCGCGCTAGAACTTTGAGACGAGGTGCGATCTCTAGTTGCTCCTCCTCTGACAGGCGCCTGAATTCTTCTCCTTCCATAACAATGTCCTCGTTGTTGGTGACAATCGCGCATTCCTCGGCGATAGATTGCGCTGTTAATAGATTATCTCCAGTGACCATGCGCACCGTCACTCCCGCCCGACGGCAAGTCTCCACGGCGTCATGAGCCCCCTCCCGCAAAGGATCACGGATACCGGCAATTCCAATCAGAGTCAGGTTGTTAAGTATATCTTCGAGGTCGAGTGTGTCGGACTGGATCTCTCCAGCTCGGTTCGGGGGCCACACCTCGAAATCTCGGTAGCACAACGCTATTGCCCTTAGCGACCACTTTGAGTAGGCTCCTACCTTCTGGCGTATAGCTTCCTTGGTACTTGCAGTCAATGCGGTAACGGAATCGCCTTTTGTCGGTTCCACCAGCGTCCTGCTACAACACCCCATCAATACCTCGGGCGCTCCTTTTATATACGCCCTGTACAGCTTATACCCACAAACATCATCCAAGCAGACCACGGTGATCATGCACTTGCGCGTAGCATCGAAAGGTATGAGCTCCACCACTTCATAACCCGATCGTGTCAGTTCTAATGGGCCCAAGCCCATGTTGTCTCGGGCGAAATACAGCAAAGCAGCCTCGGTCTTGGATCCAACAAAGGTGACATTTCCATCCGCTATCGACTCGAACGCCGTGGTGTTGTAAGCAACCGCATTAACAATGAGTGATTTCACATAATTATGCAAGCGAGATTTCAACGCAGCAGTAGTCGGAACATCACGCGAAGGGGCGTCCGTCCGTGGTTCCAGGTCCGAGAACTCTTCGGTGCCAATAATACCTGCGACCACGGTCATCTTATTTTGGGTCAGGGTCCCAGTCTTATCCGAGCAAATGTCGGTAGCATTGCCCATGATCTCACAGGCGCGCAACTGTCGCACTAAGTTGTTGTCCTTCAGCATCCTGGTGGTGGCAAAGGCAAGAGAAAGCGTCACGGTTAATGGAAGTCCTTCAGGCACAGCAATGACAACCACTGTCAGCGCAATGATGAAAACTTCCAAGAAGTCCTGGCCTTTTTCGGTCGCGGACGACGTCGAGTGGCGCAGACCAACCAAGAACTTGATGAACAGGATGACGAACAATACCAGACCGGCAATGCCACCAAATTTAGCGATATATTTCGCTAATACGTTTAGTCGCGACTGCAGCGGAGTGAAGCCAGGGTCTTCTTCGAGACTTAGGAGGATCTTGCCATAACTCGAATGGTTGCCGGTTGCTATTACCAGGAACGAGCCGAGACCTTCTGCAACCTTGGACCCCGAGATCACGAACGGGTCAAGGTATTTAATATCACGGCAATCCGCGATCGCATCTGCGACCTCATCACCAGACTGTTTCAACAGCAAATCTGACTCACCGGTCGCAGCTGATTCATCGCATCGAATGTGGTGGCCGCGAATCAGGATCCCATCGGCCGGTATGACATCTCCTGGCTCCATGTGTACGACATCCCCAACCACCAAATCGTTAATAGGTACCTCCTGTGGCCGACCGGAGCGGATTACCCTCACAAGGCGATCTTGTTTCTTCTTGTTCAACTTTTGGAATTGCAGCTCTTTCTGGAAATCATTGCCTGCGCCCACCAGGACGATAACGATGATAGCAACGATGATGGCTACCCCTTCTACCCATTCGACAGGCGGGTTTGAGCTCGAATGCTTGGTTCCGAATGTTTGATATAGGCCTAGGGCCAGCGAGATAATTGCCGCTCCTGTCAGGAGAAAGAGGACGTGGTCATTGTATGCCGCCCATATCAACTGCAGAATCGTGGGTGACTTGGGAACGGGGAGGTGGTTGCTACCGAAGACTGCGCGTCGGTCTGCAAATTGTTCGGTGCCATGGTGATGGTGGAGGTGGAGATGGCGATGATGGGGTTGGTGGGAAGGTTTGTCGACGGACGAGGTTGTGGCCGATGGTTCATGGTTCCTGACGCTCGACTCGTCCACGCTTAATCCGGTATTTCGATCGGTTCGCAGACCCCTTTCTATTCCGCGGAGGCCACCAAAGGCGTAGAAGGTATCCAGGCTTCTTGACTCGATGAGTCCGCTCAACTGCTCAGCCGAAAACTCAAATGCGCTGGGCTCGCCCCGAACCAGTGGTCCATGGGCGATGACAGGCTTCTCGCTCAGGCTCTGCGATCATGTTAGTCACCGATTGGCTCTATAGTTATAGCTGGCTAGGGTCTGGGGTGGGTCACTAATGCATATGGGATTTGTGATCATGGATTACCTGCCTCCTTCATGACCGTGACAGGGAGTTCATGCTACCGTGGGCGTTTGGCGAATGAATTAGACCAAGCAGATGGTCGTTACTGTCATTGCGCACGGGTCCGACCGGCGGGAAATGAAGAGATTACACGATAAAGACAAGTGCTAGATTCAAGATAGTCAGGAAATAAGGAGTTAAATTGCTTTCCCGGGGCAAAGTGAGGATGAAGGAGATGGACTCAGGGCAGACCAAGGAGTTAGGAGATGGAGAGAGTGAGATCTCTCCAACTAAACTGATTAATGCTGCTTGATTTTCTATTTTGGGGCGGTGCAAAGACACTCCCTAAATCCCTCGTATTGGTTGGTATTGATGATACGGGCCAAAAGGCAGCCGCGTAACCCCCGCCGGTAATCTTCGGCCTCCCCGCTTGGCTGGCCTGTAACTTTTGCCTAATTTACACGGCAGCATCTTTTGCCCGTCGGATTTCCGTCCTTAAGGCATTAGAAGTATCCAACATGTCGAACATAATGATCGCATTGAGAGACGGTGTATTGGTATATGAACTCTATATCAGAATATTGATGGACGTCCCCTGACAAGTCATCTCCCTGTATAGACGGGCTACTCCAATACCATACCTGATGTCAGGGTACTTACTCCCCAGGAACGACAATATCTGGGTGGACATAGAAAGCGATCGCAATGATCAGATAACTATACATAGATTAGAGAAAGGTCTTGCTTCGGAAAGAGAAGCACAGGGAAACTCACGTTCCACACAACAAGACACCTGCGAAGTAATTCGACCGACCCTCCCGAATTAGACAATTCATCACCACCACCGCCAGCGAGAAACAGGCGGTCTCAAATGAGTTGAAGCGCAAGGACATCGGCTGACCCAGAGCCCATCCATACAGTACCAAGAACGGTGTGACGAAGAGTGCGATTTGAAGCGTGCTGCCAACAATCACACCAATGGCCAGATCGACCTTTCCTTCCTTGGCTGCTTTCACGGTAGTCGCAAACTCGCCAGCGTTGCCCACAATCGGCACGACGATCAGGCCTAAGAAAGCCCGGCTCACCCCATAGGCTTCGACAAAGCCATCGACCCCTTCTACGAGGTAGTCGGAACAGACAGTCACTCCCAACGTAGCGGCAATCAGGATGATGCTAGCTGCCAAGGGTCCCAGCTGGCGCTCCTCCTCCTCATCTTCCTCTTCGGTGCTAGTGAAGAGATGAGAGTGACTGCTGAGCTGGAAGTAAAGATAGACAAAATAGAAGAGCAATAGCAAGGCAGCGGTGATATGTGACAGGTGGAGGATATACTCGTCTCCACCAGGCGAGGCATAAAGAGATGTGGAATACAAGGTTGATGGGATTATGAGCGCGGACGAGGATACAATCATCAAGGACGACATGATCCCCGTCACATCGACATTGAAGTGGATTGTCTCCTTATCGTAGCCGCCGGCAAAGAAGCAGCATCCCAGAACCTAGGCGAAGACAGTCAGAACTTTTAGTAGGAGCATAGCAGTAATGCGTGGCATACCAGCAGCGTGCCAGACAGGATCGAGCCAACCATCGAAGACTGCACCATATGGATCTCGCCTTGGCTCACAGCCGTGATTCCAACCTGGATGCTATATTTAGCTAGTACCATATGCGATGGATTAGGGATATGCCTTACGATCATTTCGATGGCATTGCCAAAAGACGCATTGATCAGGCCTCCTACCGTTTGGCCGACGCTTTTGGCCAATTCCTCGGTCGCAAAGGACAACAACGAGGCCAGCGGGAAGATGGCTAGGAAATTCAGGATAAACACGGCGGAGGGGTTCCATTCTTGGGAGCCGGAGAGTATTCCCAAGAATACGAAGATTAACAGCACATTGGTGTAGCTGGAAAGAAAAGTCACCTCGACCGTATGCCGGACGCTTGCGAGGAGAGAGGGTGTACCCGATTCCTGGGCATTCTTGAAGAGGGTCATTATGAAATGGTGGACGAGGAAAGTTCCATAAAGAAGCTGAGCATCTCTCAGAGAAGGTAGGTTGGCTCGGACTTATCTCCTGCCAGCGTCTCCCCGAAGTTGTAAGGCGCGCGGGGCCGTTTGGCGAATACCGTCAGGTACGGTTCGAACAGTGTCAGGTGTGACCGATACGGTTGTTTACACAAAAAGAGCGCACTGGGCGGGCAGGTAGGTGGGGCCAGACGGAAGTCCCCAGCGTCCATTGGGCCAGAATGGAGGTGCCTAGGCGCCATACCCCCTCGGCCAGACGGAGAGGTGGGGGTGGCAGCCAATGGGAAAATGCCACCCAGCCCTGTAAGGCTGAGGGGGCCGCTTGCCCAGGATAGCGCTTGGTTCGGGCTCGGGGAGAACGGTACCGTAACTCCTTACCGCGGATACAGCCAGGTCCCGTAAGCTGGTTAGACGGGTTAAGCTACTAACTTTCAGATCCATCCGATCAGCTGAACCAAAAAGAGCCTCTGAAGCGCCGCCTCTTCCTCAGAAGAAGTAAAAGCCTATTGATCTATCTCAACCCGTGAGTAACATCCCTCTCTCTTTTGAAATGCCTACTGTGAGGCACCGCCACCACTATTCTTCAACCATGGAGGGCCCCTCTGGCATATCGGCAGAATCTGATCCTCCTACGCCGCCTCCCTCTGAGCGCGCATCTTCGCCGACCGCGCCCCTCCACGGGCGCACCAGTCCCTTCCACCTGGCCATTATGAGGATCGGTAGTCACCCCGTCTTGAAAGCTCTTGCTGGATTCGTCCTCCTGGGACTTCTCTCCGGCCTATTGGGATGGCCAAGACAGCTGGTGTTCTGGTTGAACCTGGTCGCCTTGGTGCCGCTGATGGCCATCATCACGATTGCTATCACCGAGCTGTCCCATGCCCTTGGGCCGTTTCTTCACGAAATTCTCAAATCCACCCTGGGTAACTCGGTGGAACTGATGGTAGGCCTTGTCTCAGCGCACATGGGTCAAGGCCGTATCTTCCACTCAGTGGTGGTTGGCAGTATCCTGTGCTATTCTCTCCTGGTAGGCGTTTAGCTTTCTACGTTCCGCAAGTTGGATCAAGTTCGTTGACTATCAGATCATAGGTGCTTGGTGGCTGTTTCCTAATATCTGGCTACGACAAGGAACATCTACACTTCGATCGCACCTTGACTAGCATCATGTCATCGTTGATGATGATGGTATGCATCTCCTTGGTCCTTCCTGGTGTCATGGTCACGTTTCCGTCCTTGGACACCCTCTCCATTAACGCTGTGGTGACCAGCCATGAGGTACAAATGGTTTCGTATGGGATCGCTCTCATCCTGCTGGGTTTATTTGGTGTCTTCCTCCTTTTCCAACTCAAGTCTCATGCTGCATTGTTTCGCATTGCCGAGGGGGCAGCCGAGCCGCACTTGAGCGATGCCAGCAGCGAAAACCGCGCAGACGATGATAGAATGCAAATGAACCATGAACCGGTCATGTTCACACCGCAATCAGCTGGCGTTGCTCTTCTTATCGCAGTAGCCTGCTTGACGGGGTGTGTTGTACACATTGTGAACAGTGTCAATGCTGCGCTAGAGCGGGGAACTGGTACCAGCTTCCCCATTTTGGTCTGGGTGCCGCTGGTGGGGAACGTGTCCAAGTATCTGACCATTGTGGTCATCTCGCGCCAGGGCCATGTGGAGGTGGCCGTCCGAAACATCTTGAACAGCGTTCTGCGCCTCACCCTGTTGGTCACGCCAACTCTGGTCCTCATGGGCTGGTCCCTGGGTCAATCGGTGACTCTGCAGATGGATAATTTCGAGGCGACCATGCTGTTCCTCGCCGCCATGGTCATGAGCCACGTGATTCACGAAGGCCGGGCAAACTATTTTGACGGCCTCATGCTCTGTGGAACGTGAGTATATCCTACACATACAACGACCATATTCATACCATTTTTTAACGAAACCATAGGTACATCATCACGGGAGTGGCATTTTATGTGTGTCCCAGCGTGAGCACCATCAAGGATGTCGCGGTCGTAAACACATGATATTGAGTCCTAGTATTCATTATCAACGTGGTATATGTATGTGTATAGTATATATAACTCTGGCCCATATGTCTGAAAGCCCGTGCTCCAAGATAAAACAGCAAATCCAACTACGCAGATGATAAGATTATGATGTTAAGGCAGTCGTCTACCGAACGTAGAAAGCAAGCGTCAAAATCGCATACCTGTCATCACTGTTAGTATATGAAAAACAACGCAAGATTTTACCGGAAGAACGTACATGGCGACCAACATGCTCCCATGAATGTAGGTATACTTCCCATCCTGGAGGATGCAATTGACCAGCAGCACGGAGAAGAAGAGAACCACGGTGTGGAAGGTTTCGAAATATAGCGTCATCGGTGTACCTATGACCCAACCGAGCATGACTAGGAAGGGGATGGCAAACAATCCAATCTGTAGGATACTGCTCACGATCATACTGATGGCGAAGTTGACATCGCCGCCACCACCACAGGCAGTAATGACCACTGCCCCTTCACAACTGTTGCTGATTATGGGAATGAGAATGGTCGCAATGAACGTCTTCGAGATGTTTAGGGTTGCAGCGGTTGCGGGGATGCTGTCCATGATGTTCTTCGTGCAGACAACTATGGCTAGCGAAGACAGAACCAGACTTGTCGTGAGCCAGTTCATGCTGCGCTGAGACTCCCGCGACGAGTTGCTCTCGGTCTCCCCTTGGAGGAAGAGATGGCTATGGGTACCGAGCTGGAAATATAGATACCCACCATAGAGCGCCAATAGAACGGCAGATGTGCCACGTGAAAACGCTACGATCTGGTCCCCAAGGTCGAAAGGGAAAGTGGAATACAGAACTGAAGGCAGAATCAGTCCGACCGAGGTGACGACCATCAATGAGGCGAGCGCGCCGGTGACAGGTTTGTTGAAATGGAGGATGTAGGTGTTGTATGAGGCGGCGACGAGACAGCAACCAAGAATGAGAAGGAGATCGGACAGAATGCTCCCGATCATGACAGACTGCGCAAAGTATATTTCGCCACGAATGAGGGCCAAGATGCCGGTCTAGGAAAATTATAGTCATGAGATTAGATCCCATCGCTAGCGTCCAGAGGTTTTGAGACTTACCGACAGCTCGACACAGTTACCAAAGGTTGCATTGATCAAGCCCCCCATGAGCTGGCCTAGGGAGTCTGACAGCTCATCGGAGCAATCTGAAACTATGACGGAGAGGGGAATCACGGCGAGGAAGTTGTAGGTGGACACCAGGACGGGGTTCCAGTGTAGCGCGTCCGCCACAAGACCTAGAGGCAGAAAGCATAGTAACGGTTTGGAGCCAGATTTGGCGACGGCGGCAGATATCCTCTGCCGGAGGGTACGATGGCGGATGGGAGAGGAGGAAATGACGGGCGAGTCCGGCTCGGGCTCCGACTGCATGACCGGATCGTACTGGTGGGAGTCTTTCGGCAAGGGGGAATCATTGAACTCTGGCCGAGACATGGTGACAGGTGGGACGAAGAGGGAGGGGCGAGACCACCAGGGACGAAGAAGAGCAATGAGGGTGACAGCTGACGGCGCAAAGTGGCAGGCGGGCTTCCGTCGACGAGAGTTGACCAATTTTAAATCCCGACGATCATGGCTCCAGTCCGACGGTGACGGAGAAGATGACGTGGGTTAAGGGGGGAATGGATGTCGCAGAGCAGGGAAGAGATGGCGAGGCCCCGTGAGAGCGGTGGGCAGTGAAACGGAAGAGAAAGAGGGAAAGAGAGAGAAAAAGACAGAGACACAGAGAGAGGAGAGAAGGGGAGAGGCTGAGATGAGTGGAAATCCGGATCAGCATCAGACAGAACCTGAAGCTGAACCGACGGGAACAATACCGTATGAGACGGTATGGGAGGTGTTCGAGACGGTATGGTAATCGCGGCTGTCATTTTCCGTGACTTTTCTATTTCTGGCCCGACAGGGCTGAAAAGGGAAAAGAAGCCCTTCCCAGTTCCCAAGCCATCGCGTCCAACTGGTGCAATCTCCACTGAATTTGATTGCCAGTCCACTGCTTCCAACGGGGCCCTTTGGAAAACTACCAATCAAAGAATGAGCCTGACTGATAACCGGAAACCTCGGGGCAAGTAATTGGAACGCAACAACACCCCCCTCTCCCCCGACACGCACGAAAGAACTGACTCGGAGAAAGAGGATGGGATCCTCCAGCCTTTCCAACGCCCTAGCGGCTTGGCGGCAGCAATTGAATCTGGTCATGCTTTGACTTTGAGACTCTCCATCCTGCATCTGCTTGTCCGCTCGTCGTCATCCCGTCATCTCCCTGAACTTGCCCGCAAGTCTCTCCCTATCTGTCAGTTCCCGTGAGCGGCTCTTGATGCGCTTCAGCTTGTCACCGCTTCGCTCCCTCCATTCGCGTCTATCGTCCGAGCGTCTTCGCGACTGCCAAAACCTCTCCCCTCTTCCCTTCTCCTCTTTTGAACACGATCGTTGGCCGTTATCTCCTCACACCTCGGATTATTAATTAATCGCAGCCCGTCGGTTTTAAGTTCCTCCTTTCCACCTTTCCACACCCGTCCACCCGGCGATCGAAGAACTATCCATCCCCCAGCATCCCCACGCATTGTTACTGGAGCTCCTGTCAAGGTTTTGGGGGATCCGCGGAAAGTCCGCTCTCCGCACATCGATGGATGTTTCGCTTTCCCCTTCGTATCTGAGGGCGTTCAGGGCGCTGTCGAAACGGTATCGGAAGCAAGGACATGCTGATGCAGCTGCCGAGCTAGAGACGGTGGTGGAGCAGGTCTCCAGTGAGAATAGGAATGACCCCGGCGTCGCGCTGAAGCGCTTTGGGGCGCTAGTCCTGAATTTCCTTGAACGGGGTCAGTGGAACTCTGCCGTAGATGTCGGAACGATTGTGGTCGATGCCCGACGGGCGCAGCTAGGCCCCAACGACCCCATCACCATGGCCGCCGTCCACAATCTGGTTTCCGGGTATTGTGGTCAGGGCCGTTGGGCAGAAGCGATCGATCTGGGTCTCCAGGTCACAGAGGCACGTCGCAAGGTCTTGGGAGAGGACCACCCCCACACGATGGCCTCCATGTCCAACTTGGCTACCGCATATCGCAGGGAGGGGCATTGGCGACAATCTGAGGCACTGGAAGTTCGTCTGCTGCAGATCAAGACCCGGCGATTCGGCCAGGATAACCAGTCCACCCTCACGTCCATGGGCAATCTGGCCAACACCTACACTCACATGGGGCGATATGATGACGCGGAACGACTGGAGAAGAGGGTGGTGGAACAATGTACACTTGCGATGGGTGAGCACCATGGGTCGACCTTGATGTGGAAGTCCAACCTAGCAGCCACTTATCGCGAGCAGGGTAAATTGGAGGAGGCGTTGAAGTTGGAGTCGGAAGTGATGGACATCCGTATCAAGCGACTCGGGACCCAGCACCCCTTGACGCTGACATCCATGGCGAACCTTGCCACGATGTACCGGGACCAGGGGCGGTTGGAGGAGGCAGAACATCTGGAGACGCAGGTCGTAGAGATAAGCAAGATCAAACTAGGCGAGCAGCATCCGCAGACTCTGATGTCGATGATCAACTTGGCGTCCACCTACCGGGGGCAGGAACGGATGGAGGAGGCCGCCAGTCTTGGGGCACGAGCGGTGGCTGTGATGAAGTCACGCCTGGGTGAGCAGAATCCATTAACCCTGACTGCCATGGCGGATCTCGCCTTGACGTACCAGGGTCAAGGAAAGACAGGTAGCGCCGAAGCGTTGACCGCGCAGGCGCTGCGTCTGATGCAGAAGAATCTCGGAGCACTCCATCCCCACACGTTGACGACCATGGCCAACCTGGGGGCCATCTACCAGTCCCAAGGCCGGTGGGACGAGGCCGAGACGCTCGTGGAGCAAGCCGTTCGTGGCCGGGAGAAGGTGCTAGGGAAAACACACCCAGACACGCAAGCGTCAATGGAGGATCTGCTGCGCGTGTATCGAGTGTTGGCGGCGGATCGCACGACGGGGATACACATGCGGCATTCCCAGTAAAGATGTGCGATCAGTCAGGCGTTGGGAGTGTCATGACAGTGATTTCTTTTTCTTCTCCGTGGTCTGCTATCTTGGTCAATGAGTACATGATGATAATGATGATCATTGGGAAGGAGTTTGGGACTGGATCCGTGAATCACCAGAGACACATATCAGTCAGCATTTTGAGTATTTACTTGCTACTTACTTACTTAGTACATCGGATGATCACGTTGACGTGCATTGAACCACCCAGGGTCTTTCTGAGTATGATTTCATATGTCAAAGATGAAGAAGGGCTATATTCCAGATACAAGATGGGGAAGTCTCCCTCGCTTTATGAAGGGGTGGGAAAAAGCATGACTGGGGAGTGTGGCTGAGTCTCTTTTTAAGCAACAGCACTGCCCCCTTGCCAAGACTCCCACTGCTTCTTCATCCTCTTGTCTCTCCAGTGCAATCCCAAACATTCACACATTCAATTCATCCCAATTCCCCTGATCCAGCCCTCATAATGGCCGATCGTCTGCATTCTAAAGCCATCAAGCTTCTCACCCGGCTGTCATGAGATCACTGCCTGACAGATCGGTGGATCGCGACCGGTCGGATTCTCCTGCATGCCAACCCGCCGCACCCATCCATAGTTCCTTGGAACGGTCCACCCAATGGGTCCCTGTCTGCTTGTTTCTCACGACTTGCTCTCAGCGACTCAACGACTTGAATTAACCGCGGAAACTGGTCCGAGATGGTCGGATCAAGCCCGATCGTCTCCAGCATGTTGTGATTTGCTCGTTCCCCGCACGCTGGCAACATATCTCGCATCACACACGGCAACCCCCCTCCCCGCTCCCATGGGCACTCAGAGGAAAATAGCTATTTAGTCCCCAGCTTCGACTGGAACTGAGGGATAGTCAAGCAACTCGGGGAATTCTGCGCTGTTACAGCTGTAGTCGGAACAATGACAGCCTCTACGGAAGATATCATACCCTTCTCGGTGGAAGGGAAGACGGCCATCGTCACGGGCGCTGGCTCGGGTTGGTTTCCACTTCATCCTTTTGCCGGAACACTCTTCTGATGGTGACAGGGATCAATCTATCATTCGCATCCCTTCTGCTATCCAGGAATTGCAATGTTGTGGTAGCCGACATCGCTCTGCGACCGGAAGCAGAGCAACTCATCGCCAAGTATGAGGCCGCCGACTCCTCCCCGCGAGCAGTTTTCATTCGTACAGACGTCACCTCTTGGGCCGACTTGAAACGCATGTTCGACTTGACCTTGTCCTTATTTGAAGAGTTTCATATCCTCTGCCCTGGTGCGGGTGTCTACGAGCCCCCGTGGTCGAATTTCTGGCAGCCACCCGGATCCGCAGTAAGCAAAGATAAAGAGGACAGCGACCGATACGCGCTCCTGGACATCAACGTCACGCATCCCATCCGAACTACCCAACTGGCCTTGTCGCACTGGCTGCATCCCACAAGCCCCAACGTAGCTCCCGTCTCCCCGCAGAATCCCCGACGCGTTATTCACATCTCCTCCGTGGCAGGTCAACTGCCAAACGTTGTGTGTCCCATGTATGGCGCTTCAAAGGCCGCCATTACCGGCTTTGTGCGGTGTTTGGCCCCCCTCGAGCAGGCAATCGGCGTTCGTGTGAATGCAGTGGCCCCCGGTCTTATACGTACCCCACTGTGGGTCGAGAACCAGGAAAAAATGATGCTTATCGACGAGGAGAAAGACGGATGGGCAACGCCTGAAGAAGTCGCATCCGCCATGCTAAGATGTGTGGAAGATAACGATGTTGGGGGAGGAACGATTTTAGAAGTTGTTCGCAACTCAACGCGACGCGTTGAGATTCTGAATGACCCAGGTCCTGCTAGGGTGGCTGGAGATGCCTCCATTCCGAGCAAGAACCAACAGGGGGTGGACCAACTCCTCGAATCCCTGAAGCAAAAGGATATTTGGGCTCCGCAACGGCGGTCGACGTAGTGTGCATGTTGCTATCTTCGCCTTAATCGAGTATACATACATATGTAGGGAGGCATAAGAAATTGTGGAGCCATTAAGTGAAAACGCCCCCAGTTGGAAATAATTATGGGTTATTATGACGATACGATAGTTAGAATCTATCACCAAATTTCTTGCCCTGGATGCCATGATGTCTGTGAAATATCTACTTAACATGCTCTGTCATATTATCCAAGCCAGAGATACTGTCGATCTCTACAGCGTCGTTGTCCCGAGATGGGACGAGCATCGACCTTATTAGTGATCCCGGTGTAGACGCTCGATAGGCATGAAGCAGGGATTTCAGCATCGGTATCACGATACAGTTGGTGTTGCTGGACTCTCCACAATGTGTAGGGATGGGCTGGAGTGTAAGATTTGCCCTGTCTATGGCACGACTCGCCCGCATTCAGGAGCATGAAGGGCATGTCGTAATATAAATTTAAGAAATATAATATATGATCGATCATATTGCACTGACGAAGCTTCTTCCTGTTGTCACTGAAATACAACTTACAATGTGTTGCGTACACTAATGCAAATATGTAGGTGGAGTATCTGATACTTCACTCCCTCGCAAATCATTGATCTATCAACCTCCTTCGCCTGATCAGGTACTCAACAAAACATGTCATTATAATCACTGACAAACTCTGACAGACACGATCATCAATCATATACCCACCGCCCCATTCTGCCATTATCATAGACCCCATCGCTAAAAAGCTTGCTCCCTGCTATCAAATCACCAGCGACCGGCCCATGAATCAACTTTCCCATGGTAGACGTTCGAATAGCGGGAGCTTGTTGTCTCGGTGCAAACGACGCCACTTTTACATTATCTTTCGCAGGCTTCTTCAAGGGAGGAATCAGGGAAAGCAACTCCTTCGCATACGCAGCGGCTGTAGCGGCAGCATAAGGCTGCCATTTCACGTTACTATGTGAATCTGCATAGTCACTGATGCCACAGACAGCCAGACAAGGGATCTCGTTCATCAGAGTCGCTGCTTCGGTCTCAACGCATAGAATATCGAAGTCGTCTCTCAGGATCTCTCTTCTCACACTGTTTCTGAGAAGGGTTTTCGACGACCCAATCGTTCCGTGGTGAATCACTGGAATCGAGTCATCCCGTGGTACACGTTCAATGACCTGGTTCATATCGCAGTGCCCACAATGTTTGCCATCGCCATGATCGTATTCAGTCCGGAACAGCAGGTCGTTTTCACCTCCCTGATGAACATAAGTTTTCTTCATCTTCGGATACCTCGCGAGCATTTCGTCAATGAAGACCGGAATACGAGTATCAACGCGCATATGGAGAGCGTCTAATCTTTGCACTGTAGACAGAAGAATATCCGGCGGTCTCTGCTGTATCCCCGTTCGCTCGAATCGACCATGAGCATGAGACTTGCCGCGATCAAGTTGCACTACGCCTCCGAATGTTTCAGTCGGCTTGCTGACCACCACATCGCCAAGGCGAATATCTCTATCGTTGGCATGGTCTGGGATCCCGCCTCCAGTCTCGGTCAATAGGCTAAATCGGAGAGATCGGAAGTCGTTGTTGAGTTGTGTTGCGACAGATGCGCCTTGATTGTTGCGCCTTTCTGGAAGTACTGCCACTACTATATTGTGTGCGCCTATGCGGCCATAGGTATAGCTGTTTTTGTCGATGGTGGAAAGAAGGGCTGGGTGGATTTCGTCCATCATTCCCTCGACAGCAGCTAGCTCGATGCCCGTTGGGCAGATGAAGGCGATGTTATAATCGTCATGAGTGAGATTGGGAGGTGGCGGATTCATGATGTGGTGGAATGGCATAGGCCCATATCATTAATTTTTTGACGTGAGTCATGTAGGATGAGTCAGGGGGGTTGTCTTGGGCTTCCAGCATCGTCGAAGTGTATGAGCTAGTTACCCCTCAAGAGGTTATATGGCCTGGCTGTAGCGCCAAACATCCCCGCTAGCTCGATGTACGGTGATAGCGAGCAGAAAAGGAACTACTAGCTACGACAAGACTCATCTCATAAACCTTACGGGAGGGACATGAAGAGTGTGTTGTCAATCATGTGTATATTAATCCCACCATTACCTCAGACTACTCATTGTGAACGTCTCGTCATGCCCATTGTTGCCTTGGGAAAAAACATACTTCGGCCTCAGGCAGTAATTTCGCTCCACAACGTTGAGGCCTAAGGCAGGAATTGCTAATGGCCTAGAACATTGAAGATCTAAGAGCAGTCATGATACTATGTTAGGGGCGGACTTTTGCATCGAAAACTACTCAGTCACAATCGAATGGAGCATTACTATGGATCAAGTCCATCTTAGAATTATTGATTAGGCTAAGATAGAATCTATGCTAACACACATTTCCGCTGTACAACAGCAGGAACAACTCGTCTAGTCTGATATCATCAAACTCGACAACATCACCGAAGCAATCTGCAGTAAAGGTCCGACGGAGCGAGACCGCTTACAGGTTACCCTGACCAGCGCTGGAGGCGGGGCTGGTGCTGGCAGCATCAGCAGAGGGGAGGGTGTCGCTGCTGAGGTTGGAGAGGACGGTGGTGGAGGTGCCGGTGAGGTCACCGCCGTTGACGTTGGCAACGCAGGAGCGGCCAATGTAGGACTCGCAGGTGGAGGAGGCGCTGTCAGAGGAGAAGAGAGCACCCTCGAAGGTGTCGGTCTCGAGGACGGTGTCGACGTTGGAGAAGTAGTTACCCTCAGCGAGGACGTAGCCACCAGAGCCGATCTCGAAAGCGTGGCCCGAGTTGTTCTCCCAGTAGTTGTTGAGGATGTGGAGGTAGGTGTTGTCCTGGACCTTGGGGGCACGGCCGGAAGTCTTGTACAGGTAGTTGCCCTTGAAGGTGACCTTGTCGCTAGCGCCGTCGAGGTACACGTTCCAGTAGTGGTGACCGTCGCAAGTAGCAGAGTAGTCAGACTCGCCGTCGATGTAGTTGTTGGTGATGGAGACACGGTTGTCGGCCTCGGTACCGAGGACGTAGTGCTGGCGACCGATGCGGGCAGTCTGAAGCATTCGTTAGTTTTCATAAGGAGGAAGTTCTGGACGGGATGAGACATACAGTAACGTGGTCGATCCAGACCAAGTCAGCGTCGTCGAGAGTGATGGCGTCACCACCCCAGACGTACTCGGGGTTGATGTCGGTGACAGCAATGTTCCTGTGGGGTTCCCATGGTTAGTTTGCGATGCGACAAATCGATATATTCCTGGACAATGCGTACTGGATGATGATGTTGGAGACACCGCTGACCATGCGGAGACCACGGCCCTTGATGACACCGCTAGTACCCTCACCGATCAGGGACTTGTTGGAGTTGACGGTGATACCGAGTTCACCAGCAGTGTAGCTATCCTTCTGTTAACATCTTCTCTTCCCTCATGGTCGAATAGAACTCGAAGAGCAACTTACTAGGTAACAGTGGTGGTGGGAGCATCGGGCTCGTAGTTGGTGCACCAGTCGTCCTTGTTGATCGCCAGCTGGCAGCCGGAGGCAGTACCCCAGGGAGCACAGCCGGTGGTGGTGGTGGTACCCTCGGTGTCAGTGAAGTCGAAACTAGCAAATGCGTACACTGGTCAGCCGGGGATCGATTCGTTCTCTGCTGTGGATAGGGAAACTCACGTCTTGGTCAGGACAATGACACGGGCCTCGTCGTCACCGAGGTAAGAGACCAGCTCATCGGTGGTGGTAGGGTAGACGGCAGTGGCATCACCACCACCAGTGGCGGAGGAAGCGAAACCCTCGGGAGTGCCGGAGACACCGACAGCAGCGGCGCGGGCAGCGAGGGCGGCAATAGCCGTAAGAGCAGCAGCGTACTTCATCCTGGAAGTTTTGCAAGTAGAAAGAGTGACAAAGAGTTAGAACAATTGAGAACAAAAGAGAGAATAAGAGAAAGAATGACAAAGCTGTGTGTGTTGAGCCAGAGAGGAAAGGATCTGAGACGGTCGACGGGCTCGTCCCTTATATAGAGCACTGTTGGTCCTTCGATGCCATGGCTCATGGAAGTTTGGAACACTTCTCCTGATGGAGATTTACGGAGCCAGTGGGTATACCGGAGACTCCCTCTGTGACTCCAGCGCAATCTCGACCAATATCGGCGTTATGACGGTGGATGGGGTGTGGGCCATTGGGTCGACAGGGAAGGAGAATAAACATCTGGGTCCCGGCGACGGCAATGTTGTGAGGCCACCGCCGATCACCTCACTGCCCTGGTCTGCTCGAGAGAGCTGGTGGATGATTTGGGAATGCGATCGTCAGCGTTGAGGGGATCCTGTGAAACGACTCCACTGGGAACGTCCAGTGAGCTGTCCGAGCGGCACGGAGGAAGCCCAGAGAAGAAGTGGAGCCGCGACTGCTTAATTAGATATGGTTTCGAGTAGATAGCGGAGTGTCCATCAGTTTCACGCCCAGCTCGATGTGGAGACTAATTAAGTCCGATTGCATCGAACTTTGTTCCCATGGCTGACTCCCCTGATGCACTTTGTAGGAATTAGACTACTAGTTCATCGTGGCGGGGGAGTGACAGGGGACGGACCTCTCCTGTTGGGACTTGACCGGGACAGTATGACGCGGCTCAACCAGCAATCCACTGATTAGCGTGTTGTCTCTTTCAGCCTCGTATTCTGTTTCGTCGCGACTTTGGAGGAGGTCCAACCTGATACGGACGCGGTCTGAGAGACACATGGGGACCCGTTCGCCCGGACGTTGCAGAAACGGTAGAGTGTTGAGTGGGTGTTCGACCTCTGAACCGGCCGGTGTGATGGTGCTATGCTCAGTGTAGCTATGTTCGGGATGATCGCGATGTTCTACGGTCCTCTCTTGTTGTTTCCCACCTTGGTATCTCCTCCACTGCTGCGACGGGCTCCTCCGAGTAGCCCTAAGCCCTTGCACTAACACGCGGCATTCAGGGCAGGTGCAGTGGTGATTGGTCCGCCGAGCGGGACATGGGGCGCCAAGGCCGCCAAGACGGCAGATCATTGCTTTTCCCGCATCCAACTTTCCCATTTATCTTTTTTCCCCCAATCAGACATTTCCCCGCCCGTGACTTTTTTGATGTTTTTGCTCGGTTTGCTCGGAAATCCCACCGGCTCTTGTCCGACAACCGGTTAATTTTGGTTTTAATTCTTGTTTGATTAATGATTGATTAATTCCAATTCACGATGATGATGTCGATATTGACTTATGCTGAGAAATCACAGATGATGAATCTCCTCTGCTGACCGGGCCGAGTCGCCGGCCAAACAAACAGGAACAACAAAACATTCGGCATGGCAAGTCCACAACGGGATTGTCTCTCTGCCACAACCTCCCGGATCCGACGGTCACACCCGAAATTTTACCTCCTTAATCTATCATATAATCTATGCTTATTCCTAGTCTAGTTTAACATCCACCAGCATGGTTAATTAATGTCTCCTCCACTAACATCCTCCGCCTTCCAATAAACGTGGACATCGTTTGCGTGATTATCCCAAGACCGAATGAATCATGGGAACGCATTGAGGTAATATCTCCCTACTCCATCTTATGGGGCATGAATCACTCCCAACATCTTCTTATCTGACTCCTTTTCCTTGTCAGGAGTTCGTCGTATCCTTGAGCAATTAGCTCTCTCCAGCTGTCTTAGATTGTTCTATGTCAGCATCCTCAATCCCTGGGGGCTTGCTGTCTTGAGACTGCTGTTGGGAATTTGACATATGGCATGGTGCAATCTGTCTTATTTTCCAAGTGCAACTTGTTCCTCGGCTGACCTTCCTGTTACCGTTGAGCGCACGAGTTTCTCTTGACACCACAACTTGCATCGAAGACAGAGACAATTTCGAAGATGCTCTTAGAAGATGATTCCATAGTATGGAAATCTTTAAAATTGCCTGTAGGCGAAGTAGTTGCATTGTAGCCTTAGAAGTCCGTCGCAGTTCGTTCTGTATAGGTTTTCAGGATAGGCGGGCTTACACTTGGTCAGTCCACAAGGTTGCCAAATCATCGGAAGAATGCATTATATGACACTTCTTGTCATGGGATAACTCGTTGCACCATAGAAACTTCCTCAGTCTCTTTTGGTGATCCTAGATCCTTCCCATGATAGCTTAGAGCAAGAAGACTTGACTTGTCAGGTAATAATGTGCGGTCCTGCATTGGGTAAACTCATAAGTGCACACGACCACATAGTAGTGCAGAAATTGAGTAAGATATGCTAACAGTGGTTTACATGCATTGAACATCTGATGTTTTCTAGCTGACCCGTACTTCACGCTAGCAATGATCTCGCAGGGCATAGGGAGTCTATGCCCGACTCTCCAGTTTTTGTAAAAATATATTCACCATATCATTAAGAGTATTATGATATTCCCTTTCAACTATTCTCATCACGATCAGGTGAGTTTTCGCTTGTAGGAAAACCAGCGCTAAAATGATGAGTAGTAGCAGAGGCGAGAAAAATATATATATATATGTGCGGCTACCTGGAATCATGAGCATCAACCACAGTCGATCGAATGCAGCAGACCACCAAGTCGCTTATACGTAGCAAAATACTAGTAGTATTGTAGGTTTAACGCTCCCCACTTGATGCAAGGTAGATACTGCCTGCACTCGATATCAGAACTGGAAATTAACTGCCTCATATCAGACGATGGCTTTCCGACAACATTCTACAACCGACACGGCAGATCACTCGGGACAGGTGCAGATCGCGTCTCAGAGCGGGAGATCATCCCGTGTAAACCGTGAAAAAAAGACGATCATGCTTTGTTCAAGTGTTCTTCCGTTCGTCTGAATCGTGTCCTACAAGCAGATGTTCTTTGCCAGCGGGAGCATGATCGATTACGCCTGGTGGATGAGGTCCTATTGTGTAGATCTTCTCGCTGATCCGCGCCACCTCAGATACCCGCACGGGCGCGAACATTAAGCCGCAACATCCTCACGGGGAAAAGCTCTCATACACATTTTCCTTTCTTCGATGCATTCATGCTTCCACACATTCATCCTTCCAGACACGCATTGGCTCAATAGCCAAGATGTGCAATCGCCTTTCACAGACTACACACCCATACGAAAGACATACAGTCGATACTAAGTGAAGGACGCTGAAATTCTATACCTCCTGAAATTAATGCCAGCGACCACTGACAGTTACTCTTCCTCGACAGTCTGATCTTTATCAATGAGCTTTTAGGTCATCGATACAAGAACAACACTTCGACCCTCCTCGTTTACCCTTCGTCTTATAACCCCCCGAGAACCGTTATACCAGCTGATCATTTCATATGATGTAACAACAGCGTCGTCACACGACCTCACTGAGAACTTTACGGTGTACGATATAGAGAATAACACAAGCTGGGGTGGTGATACTATAGAGATACCATGGTTGGTGACCATCGCATATCATTCCAAGGACAGCTTTGAACGGCTGGCCGGTCGGCCGGATCTGGTGATTGCGTGCGAGAAGGCTTCTGCCGAGGCTTGCTCTGACTAGCTGCTGCACATCATCATGCGATAGTTGGTAAAATCCTCGTACACACACCAGACAAGAAAGACCAGGAATGCTTCTATGCTCTTTACCCATGATGGCGCGTGAATGCGAGGCTATTCGCGGCGTGCCTGCATTATACCATGGTTTCCAAAGCCACTGCATCTGATGAATAGTTCCTCTATTTTGACCTCATGCGGGGCAGAGCAAATGATGCTTGATTTCTGGAATAATCCTTTGGGTGGCAGGTGGCGTATATAGATAGTACAGCGAATGCCACAGACGTGTCCAAACCGTTCCTGCGTGCTGCGGATGCCATTTTAAGAGAAAGCGCAGATTACGAGACAAGCTAAACCGTGTTTGGAATCGACCCACAACCGGGACACATACACGTGACTGGTCACGGAACAAGCATATGTCCGGAGTGGATAGCCTCCTTTGCCTTGCCTAGATGCTTTCATCGCGCGCTTAAACTTCCCCCGCATCAACGGCGACGACCGAAGCCTGGCCTTTTGATCCAGATCCAGATCCACTGGGTCTAGCCCCGACATGATTCCACTCCGCCAGGAGACCAGCCGTGTTGCGGTAGCATCTCGCGACAAACGGACCACATGCCCGGTGGTAAAGCCACCACTGTTTCATCTTCATTCCCCGCCGACGTTGTTGTGGCTGGGCCCGCAGTGCTGCTGTCTAGATGACCTGCGGGCGACGTAAGCACAGGACTTTGCCCTCTTTGACCCGGGGAATGTTCGAATGGCATATGCTCGCTATGGCATGATGAGGATGCCAAGGTAAGGCGGCTGGCACAGCCATTGATGGAGCCTTTATCCTTCTGGCAGCCCATGCTGGACGGGATACCTAGTGGTGATGACTGTCGCCCCTCTGACCGACTTCAGAGCCTTATCACTGGGACATATTGGCCCCGTTTTAGTGGGAAAAGATTTCCGCTAATAGGACCTTTCCGTGATTCATCATGCCCCCGACAAAATTCGCGCTCTAGAGATCGCTTGTCAACCATAGGTTGCGCCATTATGTAACAGTTGAAACAAAGAGAAGGTATTGGGACATCTGAGGTTTTCTGTTTATCAGCAGGTGGGAGCAGGACTGGCTGGGTCTGATGGTCTATAGTGAGGTGGATATGGTAGGCCGACCGATTGACATTGAAAGAAATGAAACATACTACGTTTGGCCTGTCTGGCGATTACGTCTGCGTCTCTAGAAGACGGGCACAGATCGAAACGATGCGTCATACGATTAGCAAGCGCCCTGAGCACTGCCCATAGTGTTCTACAGGTAGAGCAGTCATGGCCATCACAGTCTCTTCTAGCTGCACGCCATCCGTGAACGTCATACCAGCCGAGGTTCACCCTAGACTTGATGGGATTGTGTTTGACGAGCTGTCTCAATGAGTTACCTTGGGTGGTCAGGCCGTTTTCCAGGCGACCAGTGCCGTCCCCGAAGCTTTGGGAAGAGAAAAGAGATTCTGTTTCCCCCGTACTTCTTGACTGTCCATTCATTCCTTTCTTTATTTGTTATTTCTGCAATGACTCGCTTTCTCCTCACTGTATGTACTATAGAGTTGTAAACATGCTTTTCAATGATGTGGTGGCTAGAGAGAGCGTAGGGTTATCCATGTGGTATGTGTACCATCAACGCATTTAGGCTGTACAATTTGGCCTTGTGTAAAAGTGTTGTTGGAGTAATGAATCAGTGAGTAATGATTAAGATTTGAAGGTCACTCAAGAATCTACGATCATGCTACGAATCAAGGTGTTGGAAGGTATCTCGTAAAAGGAACTGTACGGGACATCATATAGAACCGCTCTTGTGATGCACTAGGCTGAGAATAGTGCTCAAATAAACGTTACCGAGGAATGCAGAGTACAAGTCTGACCAAGGGAGGCACGAGTATAGTTTGTGTACCGACAGAATCAGGCTGGATAAGCTGTTTCTCCAAAGTATAACCATGAACAGTCCACTCTGCTACGGGGTAAGAACCTTATCTCAACGGGATATTCCGGGAATGTTCTCATGACACCCATGGACAGGTGTCCTAAGACCTTGACACGAAGGGGCAGAAGGGTGAAACGACAATCCAAGGATGCTTAATGGGTTCGTCAATGCAAATGTAAGGTTCATTCCTGCGTTTAGATGTTCCACGTCGCTCATCACGCATAAGAGCCGACCGGACACAGTAGTATCCCGACGTGACTCTTGAACAGCCAGTCATGCTACCGGTATGCGCCCGTAACGTGACGAGCTGTCAGATAAGAGGATCTAAATGGCTGATGTGATAAGTCAAATAAGATTAGAGCTACAGCACATGACCCGAACGGTTGTCTGTTATGTCGAGAGCTGGAGCCATGGAGTGGAAGAGTGGAGCGTGACAGCGATCGGTGATCCACCAGTTCGTCTGGTTCTCCGGACGGCTAGACCAGAAAAGGCGATCGCTGGTTGAACAAGTTGATTCGTCCTTTAAAAAAGCAGAGATTGATAAGAGCGTGTGTGAGCGAAGTTGAGCAGTACGTATTGTCGTTGGCCAGACGAGCTGAACCGTTGTTTGTCTAGTGCTCAAATACTACTCAGTAGTCAGTGCGACCGACTCCTGCTCCGACTCCGACTCGGTCGCACCGATGCCGCATCTCTAGGGGGAGGTTCTAGTGCAGCCTCCCGCTTAGAGCAGCCTCTGGATTGGTGGCCCTTGGCGGGGACCCTGCAACGCAAAGACGTACTACTGTCGTGAAATCAGTAAGGGGTGAGATGTAGTTAATAGTATGAAGATGACAAAAGAATACTCAGCACAATGGTACTGGAAAGAGATGAAAAGTGAGGATGAAAAGTAACAGTATAGAGTATGTAGAAGAGAGGAAGAGTAGAGTAGAAGGGAGGAAAGGGAAGCGCGGGCCCGTCTCATGTGACTTTTCCCTCTTTCCTCTTGTTTTCCTTAAGAATAATAATCCCGTCAGCACTAACTACTAGTAGTAGTTACTAGTACTACTACGTACTCGACGCGAGCAAGCCAGACAGCACAATTCTCCCCCCTGCATCTTCCCACTTCCTCCTCCCCCCATTCCTGCCACGTCCAACCCCTCCCTCCCTTATTCCCAACGTGCTTTGCATCGTGTCTGGCTCTGACGGTGACGAACCCACAATTTACTGCGGGAAGCAAATGAATCGCAAGCAGCCACCGCGACGCCATGCCTGCGTCCGATGTGTCCGATTGAAAGTCCGCTGCGTGCCTGTTCCCCCCACGGGCACGTGCGTCCGCTGCACCCGTTTGGGCCAGCCATGTTCGCTGCCTGAGTCCCCCCATATCACCCGTCCCAGGTGAGTACTGTACTTACTACCTTGAGTAGTAAGAAGTGTATAAGTAATTAGTGTGCAATTGGCTGCTCTGCATTTTGGCCTGTCACTCTACATTTTCGCTCTTTGTTTTATTTATTTATTTTCTTTTATTTTATCCTTGATCCTTCTTTTTTTTTTATTTTTTTTTTTTCTTCCGATAATCCCACAAACTGCCCGATTAGCCTGCATCCAGCATGATCCACAATCCCAGCCTTATGATCACTACTATCACATACTACTTACTACTACTACTGCACATATTCCCGTTGACCAACTATTGGCTGATTGATCTTCCCTACGCCTCCACAGGAAAACCCGCATTGATGCCCTTCAGGAGCAAATTGATAATCTGGCAGCGCAACTGGGCCAGAAGGTATGCAATTTCTCTTCCCCCCAACTTGCCACTGTGGTTTCAACAAGGCTTGCTCTAACCGTAACCTAGCAAGGTGAATCGTCCCACCACGGCAGTCTCTCCAGTGCAACTCCGTCCACGCACCCACCAGACTCGCCGCGACTCTACCACCGCCGGGAAAGCTCTCGCCCTAGCGATGAGGCATCGGGGGATCCCGTTCTCGGCGGGTTGGTCACCCTACGCGAGGCCGATGAGCTTATGGACAAGTTCCGTACCCAGAAAATGGCCCAATTTCCTTTCGTCATGGTTTCCTCCGATATGGAGATCGAGGTCCTCCGCCAGCGCTCACCTTTCCTCCTGCTGTGCATCGTCACCGTGTGTATGGAACACAAACCGCTCCTGCAACACAAACTGGAGGCTCTCGTCCGCGAAACGGCGGCCACTCGTCTAATCGCCAAGAGCGAACGCAATCTCGATCTGCTGTTGGGGCTTCTCGTTCATTGCGCATGGTTTCATTACCACTGGCGGACCCCGCATATCCACAAGTACATGCTACTTGAAATGGCCCACATGGTGGTCGTCGATTTGGGGATAGACAAGGACGAGAACATCCGGATGCAGCCTATCCCTCCAGAGCCCGCGGACAACCAACGCCATCATTCGAATCCCACAGAGCAGAGGGCTCTGCTAGGCTGCTACCACCTGTGTTGCACGTGAGTGTTGCCTGTGACATTAGTTTCTTTTCTTCAAAGCTGTGCATTCAGACTAACAATCACCTCGAAGATCGACTTTATTTCGCCGACAGGTGACGATGAGACACACCAGATGGATTGCCCAATGTGTGGAGGATCTTGCTCGGAAACCCGAATACCCCAGCGATGTCCTACTGGGGGACTATATCCTCTCCAACAATTTCTTGCGACGTACGCAATGTGTTTTCGATGAAGACGTATGCCTCTGCTCCTACCACCCCCGGGATGCGTCCTGGGAGCAGATTGTAGAATCCATCGAACGGCAAGAGAGACAGACTGAGGAACAGCTATCACGCCTCGCCTCGTGTGACAATTGTGAGTTGCTGGCTTAAAGAATGATGCCCATAACTCGGATATCTAACCATCTGATCACCAGGGGCCCTTCGTCTGGAGCTCACCGCACTCACTACCTTGACCTTAGGTCAAGCCGTGCAGCGTCGCAGAGATGTCTTCCGACTTCGGGAGATCAATCGGCTGCAGCATCTTACGGCCTCCGCTCACCGGGTCCTTGCCACGTATCTGCAGGTGCCAGCGGACGTGGCGGTGCACCTGCCGGCTTCCTCATATTATACCCTTTGGTACGTGATGCTGGTTCTTGCCAAGGTGAGCCTGCTATTTGGAAACTACAACCATCCGACACCAGAGATAGATAGTCGGCGGGTCCACGAGGACGTTCTGGCCACAATGCGAAAGATTGCTTCTCTCTCTCTTGGTGATGATATCTGGTCGAACTGCCGTGTGATAAGCATGGTGGCATGGCTAGAGAAAAGCAAAAGCGAGGCGCAGCGCCAGTGCAGTATCAGTCATGTGGTGCAACATCCGAGCGAGGCTTATGGTCCGCCTCGACCCCCTGTCTCATGGCAGGGCCCGCCTCCTTCAATCATTTTCGACTCACAGTCCCACTGGACGCCAAGTCAAATACCCATGCAGCCAGAAGCTGCTGTATATCTTGAATCCCTGATGCACAACGATTGGGACACGGGAATTTGGCGTCAGACTCTGGAAGCGTTCACTATGTTCGGCCCTCCCACTCCACAGAGCCAGATGAGCTTACAATCGCCGGTGGTGATTTGATGACAGGCTGTTGCAGTGGGACTGGAAGTTTGACTGGTTCAATATTGGGTGTTGTCTGACGGATTGCCAATACACGGGCCGGGTGAGCGCTATGCACTGGTCGCTCTTCGTACGCCTGGAAGGCTCAAGCATAGGTGCGTGGCCGAAGTATTCAAGCGCAGTAGGCGATGTGCGTGTGCTCTACCCAGCTGGACACATATCTCAGTGCGTTGCTTATAAGCGCCTTGGACTTTGGCTGAAATAGGCCTCGCTCTGAATCTTGGCTAGGTTCACTCGCAAATTGAGGCCATCAGCCCAACCATGATGGCCAATATGCTCGTCGACATGCGCCACCTTGGAAGACTGTGGCTGGCACCTCGCTCATAGAATGCTTGCCCTAGTTCACAGGTGTTGACGGGCAGCGTTCAAAGACCCTTGACTCTGACTCATCCGTACTACGGATGCTGCTGTAAAGGCATGCGGCATGAGTAGCTGCATCACCTTGTGATCTCGCTGCGCTTTGGTCTGAAGTCTGACTGTCTCTTTGCATAGTCGGATGCGTTTACCATTGGCAAGGCTGGTAGAATTCAGTTCTAGACAAAACCGCATGGCTGCCGCCCTCACGTAGTTGGATGACCGGGGTACATTCCCTTTGTACCAGGGGTTGCGAGCTCGACGCAGACTGCACCGTCGATCGCCGGCAGCTCGCTCCTGTTCTTTGGAAAAGTAGCAAGATAGTGATACAATGAAGGAGAGCCAGAACACAGCGAATCGAGTGTCAAATGATGGTTTGGAAAAAGGGCGTCATGGACGCCTTTCTTGTTGTTGCCCATTCCGCTGTCGACGACACTGGCTTGCATGGGTTCGCTAGTGCTGACAACCGGCCTTCGCGAATAAGAGATGGCAGGGGTGCAGGGCGGAATGTTCAGCCACATATTTGGCGACGGCGCGGGAATGAAGACTCAAATCTTATCGAGTGGGAGTCGGATGTTGTTGACTGCGAGAGGCCGCGTTAGCGTAGGTCGCCGACGGCTCCGTATAGGGGGAAACTTGCCTGTATCCACCCCGAGGTGCCACAGTAGTAGCCGAAAGTATTGAGACCTTTGCAATTTCGCAAAGCCAGAGCAATTGAGTTTACATGCCCGCCGTGGTTGGGCGATTTGTCTCTGGAATGCACCTCGCATACCAAACAGGAAAACCAGACATGTCGCTAAACCAGCACAGCCCCACCAAGGCTGAGGCGCGGACCTGCTAGTCAATCGGTTGGTAGACGCTTGGAATATCTTTATCGCAATCTTGGAAGCTGGACATGGCTGTCTGAACACTGAGTTATCCGGGTATTTCGGGATGTCGGCAAGGAGAGGTGGCCGAAATCAGCATGAGCTAAAGAATGAAGATCGATAGAACTATCTGCGATGATTTATTGAAGAACAGACTTAAGCTGCCGCGTCTCCTCTTCGCTGATTCCTTCTTAGGGCAAAAGCCGAGTGGATCGCCGTCGAGAGAGAAGTCGTCGCGTCTCCTTTCCTAACTGTTGTTTATTATACCAACCGCCGGCGGGCTAGAATCTTGCTGCCCAATACGTTAAACATGATGCTTTCCGCCTTTTGGCTTTTGGCCGCCATTGGGCTGGCCTCTACCAGCGAAATACCAGCTTCTGATGCCGTGACCAGCCTTGATCCAGGGTTATTCTCAGGGGGATGTACGCCGGAGAAGATGAGCATTCGAAAGGAGTGGCGGAATATGACCAAGGTTGAACAGCAAAGCTATCTTAAGGGAGTCAATTGTTTGATGGATCTTCCTGCGCAAACGGGGCTAGAGGCCACCACCAACCGCTTCAGCGATCTGCAGGCTTTGCACCGTGCCCTTACTGACACCCCGGTGGGTGACATTATCCATAGCGTGGTGAGTCTTTCGATACAAAGTGGCAGAACCGAAATCTGACAGAATAGGGCCAATTCCTGCCCTGGCACCGATACTTCCTGCATGTATACGAAACATTGCTGAAGGAGCAGTGTGGCTATACCGGTCCAATGGCGTAGGTTTTGAGCCCATTTTATTGGCACAAGAAGACAGGAAGCTGACTACATTGGAGATGGTGGAATGAGGCATACGACACGGATTCCGGGAATTTGTTCCGGTCGGAGATGTGGGATGCAGATGCGTTTGGTGGCAATGGCACGGAACCTGATGGATGTGTGACCGATGGGGCTTTTGCGTACTACACGGAACATATTGGTCCCCAGGAACAAAACACGGTGTTCTGCATGAACCGCAGCTGGGGAAATTACGAGGCGATATTGAATACTACCGGTGCGGCAGTCGCCCACTGCAATACATTCGACAGCTACGACGAATACTTCGCTTGCATTGCGGCCACGCCTCACCGAGGAGGTCACTGGGCGGTTGGTGGAGTGGTGAGTGCCTGCTTTTCTTGACGTGAAGAGGGTGAATTCAAGGAACTGACGCGAAAGTAAAATACTAGATGGCGGATGTAAAGACCTCTCCAGGTGACCCACTCTTCTATCTGCACCATGGCTACATCGACCGTCTGTGGTACCGGTGGCAGATGAATGATCCCGCCAAGCATCTCTGGGACATGGGTGGCCCTGCCATCAATGAATCGGCTAATGTCGAGCCCGCATCAGGCTGGCCGCAGACAACCCTCAATTATACCTTGACCACATTCGAGATAATGCCGGATGTCACGGTAGCCGACGTGATGAACCCCGTTGGAGGATACCTCTGCTATAACTATGAAGCCTGAAAGGCTCAGATTTCGACTGGTCAAGGCATCCTCCCCTAACAAGGGGCGCCTGCGGTCTTTGTATCAGGTGATCGCAAAGCGGCGATTAGAAGAATTGTTCGCTTTATTATAGAGCAAGAAGTCCGAGGCAATTGCTTCTCTTCTTTGCACGCATGTATGATATCCTCGAAGCTCCTTGACAGGCGATGTGCATCATTTCACTTCCACCTTCGACTTGCCCATCCGGGCTTTGTAAACCGTAATTCCTTATAAAACACAAAAGCGATGTGTCCACTCGATCTTTCACTTCAGTCATACTTCGTTTGATTACGCAAGACACGAATGCTGTCCGTACTTGACGGGCTCTTGACTCGCTGATGGTTGTTGCAGAGACTGACCAGGATTCAGATGCAGTTCCACCTGCTCGAGCGGGGTGAGCATATTGCCAGTGTTAACCTCCTTCATCCGATGCGACCCATGCATCCAGAACCAGTGAGTATCGAGCAATTGGGCGGATGAAACTAACTACTAGCCATCCCCGCCTCTGCCTTGCATCTGGACCGCAACAAGCCGCTCCCGCGTGACATGGGAGCAGCCGTGCCATCCACGCAGAATTGGCTTTTCGATTCCGAATGTTCCTGGCCAACTCGGACTAGCAAGCTGGGGTACGCTACTATTTCTCTCTGACTGATGACTGGCATGATACTGTCACTGTCTAGGAGATCGTATGGGCACGTGACCTCTTTTCGACGCTGTTTCGAGAACCCTTCATCTACTGCATCGGGTGGGCATATTGGCATCTAGAAGCTCACACTTTACTAAATAACAGATTATCGTCAATTTCTCTCTGGTAAATCTGCAATCTTACCAGCTGACGTCGCCTGCATGAGTCGATGGACTGCGCGACCGTTCCGAGCAGTGTGCTGCTCATTCGTGCTCGAGACGGCCGGACGTCGTATCTGTCGCGCGGGGAATTGAGCTTGACGATCTACGCTTCATCTGGTTAGATGAGTCTTCCGATCCCTAACATGGTTTCTACTTACTTAGTACTGCTCTGAATGAGGGGGAGGGATCATCAGTGGCCGGACAAAGGCAGGCAAGTGGTCACGTTGGGTCGGGCGGATCTTCATCCGATCGGCTGAGACAGACATTTGCTGCAAGAAGACTGCCAGTGCATGGAGTGTCGTTGATGATCATGCCCCGATCTAGTGATGGTATGTCAAGTAAGTTATGTGTAGTGCATCCCTAACTTTCGGCCAATTCCTGCCTGCATTGGTGTGCTTGTCTCGGATGGCAGGCAATCTACTAGTCGACTCTCCACTACTGCTTTGCTATGCATTGACTTCTAAGGCATGCAAGTGAAAGGTACACTTATCCTGGCGACGTGCAAAGCGAGGCGCCGTTCTCTACATAATGTACAACTCCTTCCGATCAACGCAGCCCGTTATTTGTGAGCTATAACCCCAAAGAATCTAGCCCTCGACGTTGAGTCTGCCCTCCTATCAGCACCCGCCACGACTCCTGCATGTCCAAGAATGAGTTGCAGGCATCACATCCTAAAGAAGTAATAAGAAGATACAGTGGTTCAGAAGCCAGGTACTTTGGAGACCCAAGCCAATAGATGAAACCGAGCTGGTTGGTCCCATTAATACGAGGGCGCAGAAACAACTTTGTAGTTTGTTGAAGACTGCCAACCTGAAACATTTCTGGCCAGGTCTCTCTGGCCAATTTTCCAGACCAGCCATCTCGCCACCAAGGGAGAAAGGCGAGATGACATCCAATTAAGAGGATGGACCAGCATCGACAGCTCTGCCGATCCCTGGAACCGCAACTGGTGATTATTGGCCCAGTGGTGCGGGGAAGACAAGCCGGGGGTAACAGGCGAAGCAAACCTAAGCAGCAGCTGCTGCACAGGAAAAGTGGTGATGCCATCGGTGCCAGCGACAAAGATACCACGGGCCATGACGCCACCAAGTAACACCACAATAGACTCGCCAAAGAAGCAGTGAGCAGCAGCCCGTCACTTGCCGGCCCACCCCCACAATCCCAGCATCTGCAGCTCTCCATCCGTGGATCAGCCCACCGTCGGGCCAACCACATCAACCCACCCTGCCGTCATCTGATCCTCTTTCTCTGCTTTGCCCTCTGTCTCTGGTCTCCTCTCCATTCATTCATCCAACAAATGGAAAACTGATCAGCCCTTTCCAATACCCGTTTCTGAATCACCCCACAGCCGGGCCTCAAGCAATAAATACCCCCTTCGGTAGCTGCTCGACTCGCTCTTCTCTCTCCCATCATCCTCAAAGCATCACAGCATACATAGATATACATAACCCTTTTTACTCACCTTCTGCCCTGCTTCATTCAAGATGCCTGCAGCCGGCCCCATGGACGACCAATGGGTCTCCTTCCACATCCGGGACCACCTGGACAAGGGCGAGATCTCCGTCCGTCACACCGTCATCGAAGGGTACGTCGTCTCTTTGACTGTTAAATGAAGTCACATTGATTAGAGGTCCTTTTCTGGTATACTGACCGATAATCTCATCGAACAGTGGTGAATTCCACGACCCCAATAACCGCAGACAGTCCCTCACCGAGGACGAGATTGATGAAATCACCATCCCCTCGTACGGCATCGGTGAGATCTGTGCTCGCGGTCGCCGCGGCAGTGAGGGCCGGCTGGACCTTTTCCACGACGAGGAAAAGATCTGCGAATTGCACTGGGATAATCGCCAGGGCAATAGCGTGAACATCGTCGAGATGCTGGATAGTAATAACAAGTATCGTGTCGAACATGGGGGATGGAGCCCAGAGGCTGGACCTCTGGGCCACGTCTACATTGACATTTTGGAGCAGCAGAAGAAGAAGAATAGCAAATAACGGCGTTATGGGATTTTGGAGTTATCCGGCGAGGTCCGGATGCAGCAGTGCTGCAAGGGAGGGCGTTAGCATATTTTGTTTGTCTTTGAATCGACTGATTGTGTCGAATGTTGTATAGGAGCTGGAAATCACATCATACTCAATAGTCAATGCGAAGTGAATACTCTTATTTTAAAACCGCATGAGAGGGATAAATGGAATCGGTGCCCGTTGATAAAGCTCTGTAATTGAGTGTAGCGCAAAGTATGTAACCAAGACTATGGTGGACATGTGTCGGGGCATGGTGATTGCTATTGCCCTGAACCCCACAGCTAGTGTCCCTAGGCACTAGAATTCATTCGGAATCAATTTAAGCAGTCGCAACTTCGATATTTCCTATCTGCATGTGGAGATTGAATTACTGACAAGATAGATGTTCACTATTCGTCAATTTTGCAGTATGTCCAAAGCCACGCTGGCTGCTTGTTCCTCGTACCAATGAATGAGTGGTATTCATTATTGGATATTGTGATTCGTTATGATATCATATTTACAGGAATCCATAATTCTTCGACGTAGGGCTAATCAGAGGATAGCAACACCATTAGGCGGACTAGCCACCCCACCAGGCACCTAGACTAGTTAGCATCGAACCACCAACAAACTAACAGTAATTCCCTACCTTCAGCGGAACACTACTGAAGAAAAAGCTCCATCGGTTCCTCTTCCGACACTCTTGGCTTAATCGATCCAGATCAAACAACTCTCCAATGGGGAGGCCCCAGCCCGCCAGCAACCACTCATGCAACCAGAAGTCAGTATTCTGGCACGGCCATGCTTCAAAGCTAGGCATGTCCCCCGCAACAGCTGCGAAGCCTTCATCCCAGATCCAGCGCAGGGTGTCTTCGGATGATTCGACACCAATCGCTGGTGGGATCTTGAGATCGGCGAGCTCTTGGCACTCTTCTGCAGAGAGCTTTTCATAGGCACGGGTCCAGCCTGTGCGGATAAATAGGATGTCGCCTTTCTTGAATGTTGTTCCTTGATGAGTGGCGATGTCCTTTAGTGTAGAGACAGGGATGGATGTGGTAACAAAACAGTTGATTGATTCTCCATGTGCTTGCGCCCAGGAGGCATAATCAAGGAGAACGCCGCGTCCTACAACCCCCCCATTTTCAACCCACACTGAGATGATCAGAACTGCATGCAGTTGTCGGAAAAGGATATGAAACAAACCATGAATTCCATTTCTATCCCCAGTTTGGATCTCCTCCAGAGTACACCCGTTTAAATAGATCTTCTCATTCTGGTAGCCGTAGTGCCTGAATCCGTCCCACTGAGAGCTAATTTGCGTATTGAAAGCAAGGCTGTCATCGTTGACAGCTCGGGGTGCTTTGTTCTTCACGACGTGTTCGAGTTTTGAACGGCCAAAACACGGCTTTTGCATACTGTTCAGTGACCAGTCGGTGGATACGCGCACCCCATCGAGGATTTCTATTGCTGCTTCCCTCGTTGTCTCGGGTGTGAGGCGATTCAGCATACCTAGCTGGTCGGTTGGACCAAAAAGGCCCCAGGCATTTCCGTGGGGACCGTCCTTCTGCAGAGGGAGAGAGTCAAAAGAGACAGAAGGCTCCATTGCAGGTGCGGTGGTGATGAGACAATCTGGGCTCGTTATATGGAGAAACCCCTGGGATTATAGGACGCATCTCGGAGTTTACCCTGGGGATAATGCTTCATGTGTGGGGGTCGTAGAATTCCAAAATACGGGGAAATTCGTATTCGCAATGATGGAAGGGTTGATAGATCCGACCGTGGCGAGGGGCGGATTTGGGTGCTTTTCCGCACGTTATAATCATAGTAGCACAAAGCTTGTTTAAAATGCAAGATTTGTGCTTGATGGGCCCATTGATACAATTCCTCGCATGAAATAGATACTGAACTTCTTCAACTATGAATGTCTGAAACCTGAGGTTTCACACATTGTCACGTAAATCAAGCGTCGCTGCGGCTTCCCTGGAAAACGCCAAAAACACGAGAAACACCTTCGAACGCAACTCACATGCATTTTACGGAAAGTAAATAAATCACTGCCTCATTCTATCATTCCAATATTGCCTGCCAGTTCTATATTTTTTCCAACCAGTCCGTGCTATACCTCTTCCTTAACCCAGGCTGACCAACTAAGAGTTTTGTAAGTGGGTATCGGAGCGGAAAAGCCTCCGATATCTCACTTTTCCGACGCGGATATGCCATATTCAGACAAATGCACAGTCAATGCTTGGAGTGAGTGCATAAATAAGAAAGGATCCTCGCGATCGCAATCCGCTGCTAACTCTAAGAAAGCAGCCACCTCGCCTGTGGTCCGGTTCCCTAGCAAATAACAAACATATCCGCCCAGACTAGCTTCAG